AGGGATTTGATTTAGGGATGCATTCCGGGTACCAGATTTAGGGTAAAGGATAGACATTCAAATTAATAAAAGTCATTCTTAAAATCAATCTCAACAAACATTTCTAAATGTCTTTTGCATGAAATATTTCTCTGAAAAAAACTCTATTTTTCTTCTACAAAAATAGAAATCAATAATTTCATTTCGTTTATAGTTTTTCTCTAGTATTCTTTATATTTTTCTTGTTTTTAGCTCTTTCATTCAATCAACCAAAGTTTTGTTCAGGAGCGGTTTGGTATTCCAATAGTACCACCTTTGCTAACCAATCAATTATTGGACGAACTCCTCGCGCCATTTTTGCAAACGTAAACAATAAAATCTATGTTACTAATCAAGAAAATAACGCAATTTTAATGTGGGATGACGAGAGTTACAATCCAACAAATATCATTTTTGGTAATTTTACAGAAACCTGGTCTCTCTTTGTGACATCGAATGGTGATATTTATATTGATGATGGTGTTATCAATCGTCAGGTACAGAGATGGAGTGCAGAAACAAATAACTTTGTCACAGTGATGAATATCAACTCGTCATGTTATGGTTTGTTTGTCGATGTCAATGATACTCTTTATTGTTCAATGTACGATCATCATCAGGTAGCGAAAAGATCATTAAATGATGCTGTGATGAATACAAATCGTATTGCTGCTGGAACAGGTAGTGAAGGATCAGGCTCGAATCAGCTTAAAAATCCTCTAGGAATCTTTGTCGACGTGAATTTGGATTTATATGTCGCAGATTGTGGAAATGATCGAGTTCAGTTGTTTCAGTCAGGAGAATCAAACGGCATCACAGTAGCTAGAAGTGGAACGCTAGATACAACAATTAGACTTGACTGTCCCAGCGGAATTATATTAGATACTGAGAAGTACTTATTCATCGTGGATAATGGCAATAGTCGCATTATTGGTTCAGACTTGAATGGTTTCCGATGTTTAGTTGGATGCTATGGAGAGGGTTCACAATCCAATCAATTGATATTTCCATTTAGTTTTAGTTTCGATCATTCTGGAAACATGCTTGTTACTGATTATGGAAATCATCGAATTCAAAAATTTAAATACTTAAAAAAATCATGTGGTAAGTTGGATTATAATCGAATGAGATGATGAGATGTGAATGTTGGTAGTGAAAAGTTGTATAGTTTTCGTTAGAAAAAAACCGAAGTCCAAATCAGAAGAAAAACTGTACATAAAACTTTTCTGATTGAAAAAAAGAAATTGTGTAATGAAATAATTGATAAATTTAAGAATTTCAATATAAAAATAAGTAGATTCGTTTAAGATATAAAATTTCGACTGACTATAGATATTCGTCTTTTGAACATTCGCACCTTCAAGATATGAAGATAACTATCAGATCAGTAAAATCATCGAAGATTTTGATTGTTATTCAAAGAATAAAACAGAACTTCTTAGATGTTACGTAGAAACTATCTAAACAACGTAAACAACATTATGTTTTATTTGATTGATTGCAAAAAAATCCTCAGTTCAATCTAATAATTTAGAAGTTTCTCTCTCTCCCTTTTCACTGGTCAGATTTTGTTTCGAAATTTTAAGTTTCATGTAAAATCAAACATTATGCTGTGCATATTGATTAAATAACTTTATTAGATTCTCTTCGATACTGTTTAACACAACGTTTTGTCTTTTCAGAATGTTGAAAGACAAATAATACTACAGAATAAAGTCAAATCATTTCAAATGCTTTGTGATTGAGAAACAGTTTTATCTTTTTGAACACAGATTTCTCAGTTCAATAGGTTAGGAACGCATATTTAGAGCGAATACAAATTTCCATTCAAAAATACTTTTGCATCCTCGTGTATTCACGATACACTTCAATTGATTTTATTGTTCATTTAGTCAATATTTTATCGGTTCCCCAAAATATCTATTCATCATCATTGACTAAGATCAATCAACTTTATTACCGAGAGTGTGACAAACAAAATTTGTATTATGAATCCATTCAAGTGAAGGTGATTGAAACTGGTTACTACACTTTTCGTAGTAGCGGTGACATCGATTCATATGGATCTATTTATAAAAACAAATTTAATCCACTTGACCCATCAGAGAATTTGCTTAAAACAGATGACGACAGCAGTCCTGTTGATCAGTTCAAACTTGATATTCATCTTCATGCTAACATGATATATATATTGGTTGTGACAACATATGAATCAAAAGAAACTGGAGAATTTTCGATCATTGTGGTGGGTAAAACGAAAGTTATTCTGGAGCGTCTTAGTAAGTATACATATATATGTGTTATATATTAAATAATTCGTAGAAAATATATAGTATATCTTCTAACTTCAATTCCATCTTTTATTCTATACTTGGAGAATGTAATAAACTGACGCTATATAATATTAAGACATTTTCCAGTAGGATATCTATTCGTATATTTTGCTACCACTATCTTAGTAGATGAGTACTGCCCAGTTTTCATAAATATTGGATGAAAAATGTGCTAAAAAGAATAGTTAGTGAGATGTTTGGAAGTATTTGACAGTCAAATGTTGAAAATCCAAAGAGTATCTTACTGTAGTTCAGCACTTTTAGATTTCTGTGGCATACTGATTCCAGAATACTCACTTGGGGAATATGAGTTTGGTACATTTACTAATCTGTATTTGTAAAATTAAATGCGCATAGAGAATCTCAAAGATTTCGCTTTTGTCGGTGTTAGATAATAGTTCCATGAACCAATCGTTGCTAAACTATTTCTGTTTCTTTATTAATTAATAAATATTTTCTGAATAAAATGTGGCAGACAGAAATTTATAATAGTATCAAAATTCTATGAATTATTTGGCTTTTTTTTTATTGAACAGGTGCTCCAGTAAATATTCAATTAAAATATTCATCAGAATTAATCGATGATAGTCCAACATATTATCGAGATTGTCAAGTACCGCAATGCCATTATGAAACATTACAAATTCATGTTAATACAACGGGTTTGTATGTTCTTTGGGGCGAAAGTAATATTAATGCATATGGATATATCTACAAAAATGATTTCAATCCTCTAAAACCATCTGAAAATTTACTGCTATCGCATGGCGGTGAATGTAATGATGGACAATTCAAATTAATCATCGATCTTGAGATCAAAACTCAGTACATATTAGTTGTGACAACACACGATCCTAAAACATTTGGGAGCTTCTCTATTTTTATCTCTGGACCAAACAATGTTAGCATTAACCCTTTTAGTAAGTAATTACGTAGTTTTTTCGATAACAAATGTATAGTGGCATGAAAGGTGTGAAAAGAAGATTTCTTGCACTTATTTGATTAGTGAGCAATTCTTATTTGATATTTTGAGAAAATATCTGTCGGGTTATTGAATTAAATAGTTTTCAGAATCTGTGTATCGATTGATTTGTTAGAAAAGACACTCGATTAGCATGAATTCAAGATAGCTTTTCATATTTTGAATGTTGCTACTTACATCCTTTTAAATCTTTACGGATGTGGAGTTTTCGAAGACTCGAAATCTTGCAAAAGTTTTTACTTATATGTGAAAAATGCACAGATTTCAATATATTGAAAAACCTTTTCATTTGAGAAACAAGTAAATTGCCAAAACTGAATATTTTGATTGTCAAAACAATTGAATTTCTTCATTACTCTCTTATAAGAATTTATCCAATATTTTAGGTCCAGAACAAAGTAGTTGTGTGATCGGTGATCAATGTAACTTTTACATCAAAGGAATTGGTTTGACACTCGATGATATTTTACACGATGAACTTCAACCGAATATAGTGCTGAATAATCAATCATTTTCGATTAAATTCAGTGCGGGTTTAACAATAATTATGTTTGTCGCAGGATTAATCAATAGTATTATTTCTTTTATTACATTTCAAAGTAAAGATGCTCAACAAGTTGGATGTGGAATGTATCTGTTGGCATCATCGATTACTTCTCTTTTGGCAATTAGTATGTTCATAATCAAATTCTGGTTTGTTGTTCTCACTCATATCAATGTGTCCACTAGTCTCTCTGTTCTTCGTGGAGGTTGTGCATCTATTGAACCAATTCTAAAACTTTTTCTCTACTTGGATGGTTGGCTTAATGCTTGTGTAGCAGTTGAACGAGCAGTGCTTATTTTTAAAGGTATAAAATTTGATAAGAAAAAGAGCAAATCTATTGCTCGACGAACAGTTCTTATTTTACCATTCTGTATTTTCGGTACTCTTATTCACGAGTTCGTCTTTCGTCGATTGTTCGAATATGAAACAGTACCCGATGCGATAGATACGAGAAATAATAATGAAGACACAATCAAGCGATATGTATCATGTATCACTAATTATTCTCCTCCTGTCCAAGATTACAATACAGCCGTTCTATTTTTTCATCTTGTTGGTCCGTTTATTGTTAATCTTTTCTCTGCGTTGTTTATCATCTTTGGAGGTGCTCAACAACGATCAATAGCACGAACTAATCAAAATTTTAAAGAACATGTTCGAGAACAATTCAGTGAACATAAACAGCTGATCATTAGCCCAGTAGTTTTACTCGTTTTGTCAATACCTCGTCTCATCATTTCATTGCTTCCTGGTTGTGCGAAAACATCTGAGAACTTATGGTTATATCTTGGAGCATATTTCATTTCGTTTACTCCTTCGATGCTAATCTTTCTTATCTTTGTCTTTCCTTCGAAATTGTATATGAAAGCATTTAAACAATCTTTGATTCGCATTCGACGGCGTGCTTCTTCTTGATCAGTCCGTTCAATTTTAACGACTTAATACCAAAAATATTGTGGACTTCAATGATATGACTATTATAATAAATACAAAAGACATTCAATATTTATGTATAGCTTGTTGTGGATAATCGTCAATTAAAATGACAACATGTTGAATGATAACGAATGGTACAAAAACAGAAAACGATTGTTATAGAGATAATAGAGAATCATGAAGAAATGTTGTGCAATAGTTGATGTGTCTATTAGATTAAGCGATAAAGATTAGAAGAAAGTAAGACAACTTTACACAAACTATATTCGTTGCAACATTATTCACATTTCTTCTTGTTTGTCTGTTGTGTGCTTTTCATATCGCTTTATTTTCTGTAGTAAAATCGAGCGGAAGTGTTCAAATATGCAAAAACAAAGAATTGGATATATTTTCTATGAAACTTCACATGAGCCTTTCGAAATGGTACTGAGGAGATGTTTTGATCTCATAAAAGATCTCATCCAGTGGCATAATGTATCTGCATAAAAAAGTTAATGGAAACCATTTTAAGGATGTGAGTTGGTGTGAGTGTGTGTCAGTAAAAAGATATCCTCACCCAAACCCACACTCACCCTCATGCCTTAATGTGTTCTGCTAAGCGGACATATAGAAAATTGATATTTGATTGTAGTATAGGATATTATTTATTGATTTTATTAAATGAGATATACATGTCAATTATAATGTTCGATTATCTCTTTGTTAATATGAGAGAGAGAGAAAAAAAATACTATCTACAGTGGCGAGGGTTCATCATACATTAATATTTAGCTGAAAAATACGTCTATTTTGGGCAAAGAATATCTGTCAGCTGCGTCTTTGGAATGGCTGCTGCAAAAGGCATGCCTATTCTTTTATGTTGTGTTGCCTGTTCGTAACTGTAGGCCAATTCAATCAATTTAGCTTCACTGTACGCAGTTCCAATGAAAGACAATCCGAAGGGAAAATTGGGTGCGGGCCATATTGGCAACTTTTGTGAGGCCGTGTTTTCGTTCGTAGTCACCTTTGTATCATTGGGTAAAAATCCTAATGGAACAGTAATTATGGGATAGCCTGCAATACCAGGAGGACTGCTAGTGAAACCTTCTGTTGGAGCAATAAGAGCGTCGAGATTGTATTTCTTCAAAGTGGCATCGATTCCTCGACGTCTACCAAGATCAAAATCGATTGCTAGAGCATTGGTATAGACAAAATCTTGCAGATGGGTAGTGTTTTGTGCTTCGAGAAACCTATTCAATACGTTCAAATAAAGACTTATAAAAAGTATGTGAATGATTGTCAAACTTACAAGTTCTGGTTGTCTCGACCAGGTGGTAGTTCTAGATCTGGGTGAGCAATGTTAAAATTGATTAGATCCTGTAACGTTGTCGTGTTCGAAGGAATACTTTTTAATTGAGAGAGGTATTGGTTGATTCCATCCTTGAGCTCGTATTTAAGGACGATGAGCTCATGCTCAGCTGTAGCAATTTCATCTGCAGTATCCAGATCTGCAGGATCAGTAATGTTCGCACCGAGTTTTTTGAAAATTTCCTCAATGGTTTTATTGAACTCTGAAATAATGTAGTCTGGATATCCACCAAAAGTTGAGTTGGCAAAGATTTTACGAAGAACTCCAATGCGTGCACCTCGCAACCCATTTGCATTCAGATATTGACTATAATCTGGGACTTTCTCAGGCTGAGCTAGAGTGAAGTTATCTTCATTATCACGTCCTGCAATAATAGTTAGAATAGCAGCCACATCCGCAACCGACTGACACATGGGACCAACGGAGTCTTGATTTTGTGATATCGGTATAACTAGATGACGAGAAGTAAGACCGACGGTTGGTTTGATACCGACAAGATTGCTTCGACTGCCTGGACATACAATACTACCATCCGTTTCAGTACCTAAGCTTGCAGCAGCAAGTCCAATCGAAGAAGCGATACCACTACCAGTGGATGATCCACAAGCGTCTCCCTGAGGATAAAAGGCACTCGTAGCCTGTCCACCACGACCTGACCATCCATTAGTCATATTCACACTACGGAAGTTTGCCCATTCGCTAAGAGACGTTTTGCCGAGTATAACTGCACCAGCATTACGTAGTTTCTTTACGACTGTTGCATCATCTGGAGTAATACTGCCAAGAAGTGCAAACGAACCTGCTGTCGTATTCATTCCATCTTCAGGACGTGTTGCAATATTATCTTTCAATAAGATCGGAATGCCATGAAGTGAGGAAAGAATTGTACCATTCTGGCGCAAGATATCGGTTGCATGAGCTGCATCCAAAGCAGTAGGTGAAATTTCGATTACAGCACGAAGCTTAGGACCCTTGATATTGACTTCATCGATACGAGCGATGTAGGCTTTGACTAAATCTACTGACGTAAAATAGCGCTTTGAAAGTCCATCTTGCAACTCCGCAATGCTTGCATTGTAAAGATTGAATTGTTTGACGATCGAATATATGCTTGTTTTGCATCGTTTAATATAAACTGTCGATTGTGTGCTATCATTATACTGTAGATCGATGGGAAATGGATCACGGTCGTTGTCGAATGATTCATTGATCTCATTAAATAGTGCGATTTTACAAAAATCGAAACGACCACATGGAAGATAATTGATAATCACTTGCAGAATGAGATGAGTATTATTTACATTTGTTACGGTACATTTGACTCTATCAAATATTAAATAAGATAAAAGTATATAAGTACTACATACTATTCTGATCTAATTAACTTACAAACAATTCTGACGATTATTATCTGTCGTCGGGTCACTTGCAATGGAAATATTTGCCAGCGAGTTGCGAGATAAGCTGTATGCTAATTCCAGCTGAAAGATATCAAATGTATGTGAAATACGCAATAAAAGAAGATGGTGAGAATTACCTGTCTTGCAATATCGACAGTATTAATGATTGGCAAGTTTTTCAACGCATCACTACTCTCAAACGTAAACGTTAAATTTGGTGATGGTACTAAAACTAAAACGTAAGACATTCTATATAAGCATGTATTCTTATTATGGAATAAATTTTTACACGTACTGCTATCATTACGAGACGGAATATATAGGGGAATTAATGCCAAAACGATGACGACTGCAATGCCAAAGAGAATAACTGCAAGCAGACAAATACTGCGCCGTATGGTGTAACTATATGTGAAAACAAAAGTAAAGGATAGTAGAATGAAATCAAATTTGATATATACTTGAACAGCTGCATGTGATTGAACTCGATGAAGTAGATTCAGCAAGAATCCGATTACTTGTCTGAAAGTCTGTTCTCAAGACTACAAAAAAAATTATACAATGTAGTCGACCGTTCTCGGGTTGATCGATATCAAGTCTGTATAAATGCAAAATATTAACAATAGGAATAATTCTTTTCATATTTTTTTTCCATTTATTTTTGAAAAAAATGTCAAGAGATGTATATCCACTGTAAGATGTAAATTTCTTTTTATGACGAACATAAACTGTAATGGCATGTATTTGATAAGAAGAAACAAATATAAAAGCGCATTTATACATCTCTTGATATAGTGTCTCTCAATTATTTATTCACATGTAATCAACAAATGCATATTAATCGGTACAGTCTAAATAAATATATTTTTGCAAACATATCTGACAATACATTCAAGTTTTAAGACAAAGATGTAAACATGAAATATTATTAAAACTGAAGGCAAGATCGACCTCATATTATCAGATTTAAAAATGAGAAACTGTGATCCAAAAAGAAACAAAAGACGTATTTGTGCGAGAATAAAATTTTCTTAGATATATTTTTTTTGATGGGTAATAACGAGCTTATATTCTTCACTTTTCTATATTATAATCTCTAGACTTGCATAAAATAATCTACATAATACTACCATGCAATTCAACGTCGCTTACATACCGTCTAATTCACGATCATATGTCGTCGTATACGACGAAAAATGAATTTTTTGTTCTTTTCTTTTCGTTTACGACCATTTAAGAGCAATATTTTATATAATATACAGTGGCATACGATGCAATATATTTATTCTTAAGTAGCGAAAGAAAGAAGGCAAATTATAGACGCCAGAGCTATTAGGCCTCGGGATACGCAAGCCTCCTTTGAATTGAAAGAGAGGAGGCTGAGAGTGTGGTTGAATAAGAAGAATAACCATGCCTACCCCCTCACCCACACCCTCAAGATATTTTTGCATCTATTTCAACTAAAGATGTTCTCTTAATTGAATTAGTTTAAAAGACAAAATGTTCATAATTGCAGCAACTTATGTCTTTATCAAGCATGATATGTTTCATTCATAATTCTCAGATAGAACATTACTTTAGCTCATGCAGTACAAACTCTGCAGACTTTAAATTAAGCAAATAATGAAGTGTATATAATTCACAAGATAATTTTTTTGAAAAGGTGTTCCTCTGGCAGATGAGTGTCGCCACTAATCCGCAAAATTTCGTCATCGCAACTTGTATTTGATCAAATGAGATCTTTTTTTTTTAATTTATTTCATTTTATTTTTTTTTTCTTTTGATGCTTCTGCAGAAAAACACTTACAATGTGTGCAAAATGGAAACATATAATCATATACACACATATACATGAGTAAAACATGTTGATCAAGATTTTTTCCCTTTAAATAAAGATTGAAAAAAAAACAAACAAGAAATAAGAAAAATGGATAGGTGTAGAAGATGATTGTCCCGTATTTGAACTGAAAAATTATGGTACAGATACATCAACTTTACCTTTGTCAAGATCAACTGGTTCTTCTTCATACATTAGTAGCGGCATAAAAATTTGATTGTAACGATTAAACAAAATACCTGCTCCTTCAATCATTGCCAGAATAAATCCACCAAAAATAGCTGCACCTACCATAGGTACAGGTCCCTGTCTTGCTTGTAAAATTGCACCAGTTGCTGCACCACTCAATATGGAATTCCATGGATCTTCTTTTTTTCTTATATAAACAAAGTTACAGTCAATTAATGAAAATATGCAACCCCATGCACCAAATGATGCTCCAACACGTGGAGCTCGTTGTTTTACTGCATTTAAACTACCAATTAAACGTCTATATTGACCACTTGGAGCATGACGAAATCCTTTTATTGAATGAAAAAGTGTTCCAACAATTGTTCCTAATGCAAACGCACCACCACAATCATCAACAATACGCCAAGGACAAGGATCTGTAGCCATAAAATATAATTTTTAATTTTAAAAACCACTGTTCATCTCTTAGTAAGTTGTAATAAGCAACTTTTTTCGATGATGTGTGCAGCACAATATCTACCTTATCTTTTCACATGTTACTTTTCTCTTTGTTTTTTTTTGCTGGCGTGATAAGACCGTCTGACCATATTGATTCTAAAGAGATTGTTGAGCTAACAAACTTGAAGCAGCTTGTAAAAGTAAGAGAAAGGAAGAAGAAATAAGATAAAAAATAAACATGGCAGAGTGATGCAATTTCACCAAGGGAAACATTCAACGGATTGCACTAAACACACAGACAAAATGGAGCACAGATTCCCCCTATTAACGCCGAAACTAAAAATATCGGGGTGTGGGTGCCAGAGTAAGTTCAAAGTAATAACCACACTCACGTCCTTCATTCATAATTCTCAGATAGATCATTATTTTAACTTATACAGTACAAACTCTGCAAATTTTAAGTTATACAAATAATAAAGTATATAATTGACAAGATAATGCTTTACTTTAATTTTTTTTTGAAAAGTTGCTCTGTTGGATCAGTGTTGCCACTAGCCCACACAATTTCGTCATCGCAACATGTATTTTATCAGAAGATTTTTTTTTATTTTTGATTCATTGATCTTACTCAATGATTATTTCTTATTTACATACATAATTGTTTTCGAATAAACATGGAATACAAACACAAAAAAAGAGGGTATGGGTGTGGGTGAGAACCAGCTTCGATTAAAGCCATACCTACCCACACCCACTCTCAAGACCAGATCGTCAATGTGTATAGACATTGGAAAGACAAGGCACTTGAATTTGTCTATTTAGTTATCGCTTCTCGGCGTTCTCGACTAAGATCAAAGTGTAGTATCTGTTCTCGTCGATTTGAAAGCTAGGACGATCTCATTGGGATCAAACTCTTTCAAGTGGATTTTTGGACATCAGCCAGGATCATCCGAGTTCACTTGGACCTGAGCCACGGATCGTCTCGACACTGTACTATCGTTGAGTTTGGTCTACTCCCGTTTCCCGCGGTACACGGGAATTACATAAGAAACTCATAACGAAAATATGTTAGTCATTATTCGATTCTAATGTATAACGTCGAACGAAAAAATATCGAAAACAAGAAACATCAAAAAGTAAAATGTAAAAATAAGAAAATCCGACATACATATTTGATAAAAATCCCAGCTTTTACAGCGCAATCTACACCCTTTCACTCATACCCACACCCTGCATAGAATGAAGCGAAGGAACGAAAAAGAAAACACACATATACTGAGTTAGCATCATGTGAATCAGAGACCGGCGGGATGCGGTGTCAGTACCGTACCGTACCGGGACGAGACGGTATAGGAAAAAAAGAAGTAGGGCGGTACGGTACGGTACGGTATTGCAAAGCCGCGGTACGGTACGGTATGCGGTATGAGAGGGTTATACCGCACTCCCGCGTCTATATTGAAAGAAGCCTTCTAGCAATGATTTTCGAAAACATCTATTAAATTTTTTTCATTCGCGTTATATGTTAAAATGAATTTAGCAAAGCTAACCCTGTCTCAATCTCTTATCCGCAGCTATTTGAATTTCTTATCATTTTGTCGAATATGAGCTACACTCATTTGGACCCTTGGAAGTCAGATAAAGATGTTTGAGAACCATCGTCGTTGTTATATATTAACGACCAATTGATGTCAACAATTGCTGTAGAAGAAAGATTTTTATCGTTTGCTTTTTGTTTTTCTCGTAAATATTATTGTTAAATGAAACGTGCAATCGTCAAACGATTCAACACTTTTGAGAACGTAATGAAACTTAATATATTATTCTCGAGAATCAAAATTACGAAAACTCATGCAATTATTTGCTAATAGTCATTTAGTTTTCTGTCAAGGTCGATATCCATGATATTTCTGAGAAAAATATTAAGTTTTGCTTCACATAATACCTATGGTTTACAACGAGTTCGTACATTTCATACAGCACTACGTTTCTTAACAAACATATAATCGCGAATCAGCTGATCGAAAAACTGTCTCATATTACTTTCATCTGAGATCTCATCATCTTCTAAAAATTTGAGTACTGTACATAACCATCCGAAAACTGTTTGATTCCTTAGTTCTTATTTCTGAGAAAGAAAAGTTCGATTAGTCCAAAAGATATATAAAAATGTGCAACCATTTACTATGAAGATGGTTTCGGTCAGATATGGGTAAGTCAACAACTTTTTGACCCAAGTCAAGTAAAAATCAATAACTGAAAATTTCGAACAGATAAAGTCAAGTTACGTCTCGAAAATCTTCAAATCGAAGTTATAGTTTAAGTTACAAGTCATTTGATTTGGCTTAATTTAACTTGATTCGAGTCGAAAAAGGACTTGACTTGCCACCTTTAGAGCCAATTCACCCTACAAGTTTATTTTATTTTCTTAATTTAAAACTTTTGATAATTGTACGCCCGAAATTAATACTAAAGTGCATGAAACACTTGTATATATTTATATAATTTTGCACTTAACTTGTCCATGCTTTCTTTCTGTAAAATTGCGCAACGTTGTGTATCAATTAATAAGTTCATGCGTTCTTGGAATTCCTTTTTTCGTATGCTCTTATAATTTCTTTTTATCGTTTGTTGTCAATATCCATCGAAAAAGTAATCTATATATGACCCGATAACTCAATAAAACGAATCGTGATATCTTTGGAGAAAACTTGAAAATTTTTTCTGGCGGTACGGTATTTCGCGAGACGGTATACTTCAGACTCTAGGCGGTAACGGTACGGTACGGTATCGAAAAATTATCAGGTGGTACGGTACGGTACGGTATGATACGAGTGAAAGCGGTACACGGTACGCGACGGTATGAAATTTTTGCAATACCGCCGGTCTCTGATGTGAATAATAACACTTGCCGCTAACAGTGTTTTTTTTCCAAGTCTATGTAAAGTCCAAGTTATGCATCAATTCTCAGTCAATTATGGTAAATATACCATAAACAGAGAAAAGAAGTGTAATAATGATAGGAAAATTAAAAAATTTCCAGAAACAAAAAGGTGAGTCGCCATACCGCTAGGTTGTGCTGTTGTATTTGATCCTACAGTTGTGTTATCGGTAGAAAAACATGCAATAGCACTGTCAATACTGCCTGAAGAATAAGAACGCCCCACGAAAAATGCAAGAGCAAATGGTTTCATCAGAAAATCACGGGCTTGAAAACTGCCAAAACATGTCCATATGTCTGATGAATTTGCTGTCGATGAATTATCAATCGTGAACGAACCATTATTCAATAATATAGACCTGAGCAAAGAATTCACTGCATTTTTTTGTGGTGTACATTCTTTAGGAAGATTTATAAGAAAGCTTTGATAGGGAACTCCACAATTTTCACTATTAATATCACCAAAAGATTGTTGTAATAAATTAAGAATACTTTGTGAGCATGCACTTCCGAGAATTGCATCGCAACCACCATTTCCAGTCGCTTGACTGTTTATTATTGGATATTGTCCAAAAAATGAGAACATCACACCATAAGCGATACATCGATTAGTTGAATCAACATTGGTACTACCATTTATTATCAGTGATATTTCTGAACCAGTATTATTAACTGGACTTTGATAAATCGTCAACGTCATATTAATGGCTGTCGCATACAAGGAAGTTTTTTGGGAGATCGTTAAATTTGGAATGAGACCAGTAACGTTTGGAGTAATACTGCCACCTATGCAATTTCCATTACAACCGCACCAAATTGATATAAACTCGAAGAAAAAGATGGTGTAAATAATGAATTTTGACAACATTCTATGATGAAATAGAAAAAAATCTTATTTTATGTACATTCGTAAAATCATTTATAACGAAATAATTGAGTTATACTAAGTGATAAATAAATCCCACCACAAAGAATAATATATAATAAAAAGAATATCACAAAAGGAGATACATGCAATGATACATATGTAGAGGTAGATGTATTGAGACTAGTTACGATGTTGATCCACTTGGTTGTTGGGAGAAAAGTGTCTATCTACCTTTTTGCTCGTCCTTTTATAACCTCGCGTCCACTCACACTGTCTCTCTCATTTTCTTATATACGATAGAAGGTTAACGTCTATTCATTATAGACACAAGGATAGACATATTTATACCTTAACTGTCTCATTGCTTTATATTGAGATAGAAGGCCGAGGTTTATTTCTATTATGTCTACACTAAGAGCCAAGGCTTATCTAAAAATGAGATAACGCAGATATTTGAATATGAAAGGGGTATATAATATTTTACAAAGAATGGAGACGTCCTTTTTTGGATACGGAAGGATCTAGTCTATTGAGAGTGTAGGTGTGAGTGGCTGTGGATGAAGAGAAGAGTACTACTCACACTCACACCCTCAAGATATATATAAATAGTGATACACAGTAATAAGGCAATACTATTTTCAGGATAAGAGGAAGATATAGCAGTCTTTTTGATTAAGTTCAATGCCCATATATGGGTCAAATGTATTTATTTTGTTCTAGTTTTCTTTTATAGGAAAGTACTAAAAAATATAGTAATAAAGAATAAAAATCAAACTGGCTAATAGAATATTTACAAAAAGAATAATTTTTGTTTTTTTAATTCTTTGTACATCTTTTGCTGGAACTTCGACATAATCCATTGTTATTGAAACATTATGTTCAATAGAATCAACCATATCACCTTGATCGGCAACAAGATTAGGTAAATCACGAAACCAATTTGAGTCTGTAACTGAAGCTTCAAGTTTAATTATATCACGATAATGTGCTTCAGCTTTATTTGATAGTTGTTGTGCTCGTTGAAGCATAGACATAGTAGAAGGAAACGTTTTTGGACAACCATCGTCAGGGATTTCTTCTAATTCGTCACTATTTATTCTACATCTATGTATTTCAAGTACACGAGAAATCTCTTTTAAACATCGTTCACGATGTGAAAAAGCTTCTTTCTTGTATTCAATTATTGTTTTATTAAAATGCCATGTTAATGCAAATAATTGTGATTCTTTTATACGTCGTTGAGCATTTTTTATATCAAAACCAGACTGATATTCTAGTGATTGGTGCATTTTTTCTAGTTTCGTCGATATTTCATAAAATAATCTTTTGATTTCTTCTGTTTTATTATCAAGTTCTTGTTCTAAATTTGAATTTGCCATAGGTTCACGCATTGTAACATAAATTTTTTTAATTTCTTCTGTAAATTTATCAATTCTCTCAATAACTAATTGAATATTATCAACCCCATTTAAAAATTTTATTATATCAGATTCTTTATCAACATGAATTATAGCCGATTGATTATTTGTACTGTGACTTTGATTTGGAACCTATGAATAAAATGAAATTGAATCATTTTTTGTTATTAATATATTAAATATAGCATAAGCAAATATACACGTCACACGTACTCGTGTAATCTTATTTGTTATGTTAGTTAAGATAATTAGTACACTATCCTGTAAGCTGTGAGTATTTTATGTGCAGATAGAATATTAATACTTGTCGTGGTAGCTCTTTGTACGACACATCTGGCCGCGGAGTACTTTTTTGTGAACGTTCGATGCCAACTTTACTCATTTGCTCTCTTGTTAAACTGTAATAAGCAACTTCTTCGATTAGGTGTAGATCACAACATCTACTTCATCTTTACACATACCGCTTCTCCTTCCCCTATCGTCGATGCGATATTTGCAAAGACAAAGTAGATGTCGTGATCAACACATTATCGAGAAAAGTTTCTCAGTATAACTTACTAAAGAGCAACACTTTTTCATAAATTCAAAGTGATTTTAATAAAATTATGAAAAAGAAAAATTAGTAGACGCATTTCACATTTCGGCAAAAAACATATTTTTGATTCCATTTTATTTTATAATTCTGTCAATCTAATCGATAGTATATTAAATATAAAAATTAAATTTTTGTCTTTTTTTGTAATAAAATACATGATTGTGAAACTTGATGATTACATTGGTGGTCGTTTACTTGGAGTCATATTCATTACTGTTTTACATGTTGGACATACAATTTCACTATTATAGAGCGTCGTTGGTGTAGAATAATTAGTAATCGGTGGTGCAGTTAAAATACCATTCGATATTGTAGATGGAGCTGTAAAAGGATTTTGTACCTGTGGATAAATAGTTCTTGGTTGTTTAGCTCGATGAACTCGGATACTTGTTATTATATATATAACGATATAAACTAAACATATAATAAACATGAGACAACCAGCAGCCAATTGTCCTTTGATCAATGGTATTTTAATATCATTAAAATTTGCACTGGAATAAAATAAACCTCGAGCAGGTGCTGAGCTACTGCATATATATGATGAAAAAAAACAAGTAGTAGGAGAAATTATATAATAAGCATCAAAACCAATAATACACATAGCAAAAAACAAGGAAATACACTGAGCAATCAATGTATATGTTGCACATCCACGATTACGACAACAACATGCTATAAAAAGAATCAGATAAAATGAAATGAATCAAAATAATAGTTTCATACAAGATGTTGCTTGTGAAATCCATGCAATCATAAAGAATAAACTTGCCCAGAGACCAACATATATAGTAGCAGTTACAATATCAATCAACATACTACCCACTTCACATCCGATAATGATAACCATAAGTACAAATTGAATAAATGAAAATATTCCTGATATAATCGCTGGAAATTTCTTTCGCCATAACTGTTGCGGAGGTATCATTGTTTGAGTATTATTCATCATCTTTATACTCCTTTACTTATTTTTACATCTTATATATAATTCGTATCCTAATCAATTTATTTCTTTTCACAAAATTTGTAAGAGTTCTTTTTTTCTTTTTGATCAAATAATAATCTTTTTTTTTCTATTTTGCATAATAGTATCGTCCATCTACGATTTTTAAAATAAATAAGAAAGATTTGAAAAAATGTTTTATTGCAAAATGTATTTCCCTTACTCAATCGTATTGTTGATCGTAATTAAATGCATAAAAATGAGATTTTTATAGAAAATATTCTACTTCCAGCGCCCTCTCAAGTGCAACTTTTCTAAAATAATACTTCGATGAGTCATCGAACGTGTTCTGCATGCTCACTACGCTTGATCCGTGTTGTTCATTTCAGAACAAAATATTTTTAAAGAAACAAATGTTGTTTTTTAACTTCTTTTAGATGCCCTATTTATCAGATCGTCAATATGGTCTTCTTCCTCATCGATGTCTTCTTGTTAAATTAAAAAATTCTTCATCAATAACACGACGATTAAATCTTGATTATAAATTAAATGTTCATCGAGGCTGTGTTAATACAATTTGGTGGAATGAATCTGGTACAACTATATTATCTGGTTCTGATGATCAAAATTTAATTGTAACAAATCCCTATACACAAAAAGTATTAACTAAAGTACATAGTGGTCATAGAGAAAATATATTTTCAGCAAAATTTTTACCAGAAACAAATGATCGACGAGTTGTTTCATGTTCAGGTGATGGTGTTATTTTTCATACGAATTTTGATCGACCAAATAGTTCACATTCACAAGAAGGGTGTTTTACATGTCATGGATCAGCAACTGCCTATGAAGTAAGGACTATTCCACATACACCAAATTTATTTTTATCATGTTCTGGTATGTATATGAAAAATAAAAAAAGATTTAATAGAAAAAAAAACAATAAATTTAGATGATTGCACTGTACGATTATATGATTTGAGAACAAAAAATCAATGTTTAAAAGATCAATGTAAAGATGATGTACTTATAAAAAGTAATTGGGGTATTACATCAATGGATGTTAATCCAATGAATCCAAATGAAATTGTTTGTGCTTGTGCAGATTCTGTAAGTTAGAATTTTTATTAGTCTCAGATAAAATATGAAATAATTTTTTCTACATAGTCTGTTCGTCTTTATGATCATCGAAAACTTTCTACTCAAGTACCATTGACAATATCATCATCTATAAATGGTCTTATATCCTATTTTTCACTTTCTGATCGAAAAAAACAAGATCAATCTCGTATAACATCCGTTGTATTTAATTCACATGGTACAGAAATTTTAGCGTCTTACTCATCTGAATCAATCTATTTACTTGATCCAAAACAAGTATTATCACAAGAACAAATGCAAGAACGTCTTATTGAACATAAAAATAATAAACGTATAAAAACAAATTTAAATGAAAATCAACCAGTACTAAATAATACGCAAGATAAAGAAAATAAAAATTCACCTGTGAAAAGATTACGTCTTCGAGGTGATTGGAGTGATACAGGTATGTCTTTTATCTTATCGATTAAAATAGAGAAAAATAAATTATTATAATATGAATATTTAGGTCCAGAGTCTCGTCCGTCCAATGAAGAACAAGAAGTAGTAGAAGAAACTGCAACAGTACCTGTTCAATCTGATTCATCAAATGAACAACAACCACCCAACCGTAATCTGCAGAATTTTATTATGCAACGTATGAGTGATATTTTAACACAATTAGTCACAAGTTCAACATCGGAAACTGAACAAACAAATGAAGAAACAGAAATAGCAACTACAACACATGAATCTTCAGTTTCTACTGAAAACAATGATCATTTAGTAGATTCCTCAACGAGAACCTCTAATAATGATGAGACAGATGTAAATTTTATTCGAAAACTATTCTATTTAGTTTATATGTCTTCGTTTTTAGCCTAATCATGTATTTGATCTTATATATGGTGAAACTGAAAGATTACATACAGAAGATGAAGACGAAGATGATGATGACGATGATGATGTAAAATCTTAAATTATTTCTTAATAAATGATAGTTTATCAATAATTTAGGAAGAATCACAAACAACAACAAATACTACTGAATCATCAAGACATGCACGTACATTTCTTTCTAGTAAATGGGATCGTCTACGAAAATGTCGTGAAGCTGAACGTTCACAAGAAGAAAATCTTTTGAAAAATATCCCTAGTTTAGGTTTAATTAATTCTTATGAAGGTCATCGTAATGCACGTACAATGATTAAAGAAGCTAATTTTTGGTCGGATAGTTATGTTATGTCCGGTTCTGATTGCGGGTAAATAAATTTTATTAATAATTTTAAAAGTATTTTTCTTGTCTATAATAGACATATTTTCATATGGGATAAATTTAATGGAGATATTATACGAATTATACCAGCTGATGAACATGTTGTTAATTGTGTACAACCTCATCCACTTAATTATCCAATTTTAGCATCAAGTGGAATTGATTAGTAAGTTATTTTACTTCTAATGATTATATAAATATTATTTTAGTGATATAAAAATATTTTCACCATTGGCTGAAATACCAATCGATGATACTGAACGTATAAATCGTACTGTAAAACGTAATCATGCAATGCTTGAAGAAACATCAAGTACGATACGAGTACCAGCTAATTTTATATTTCGTATGTTAACATCAATCTATCGATTACGACATCCAGAAGACATGTCTACATTAGATGATGAGGATTTAACCGAGTGACACATTTTTTTTTTAGTTTTGTTTTTCTTGTATACATGTATTTATATTATTTAATCAAGAGAAGTACAAAAGTACAATGATTATTTGAATAAAAACTGAAATATTTCTTATTGTTTCAATGCCATTATTTTTTGATATTTCAAGTGAATTATAATATTTTTTCATTGCATCGTATCGATTACATAAACCACAAAATTTAGGACATTCAATTGGAATATTTGAATATATTGCACATAATGATTGATCAGTTCCGTATTGACAATCATCTTGTAATGATGAACAATCAAGATTTTCACATTGTTTACCTGATGTATAAGATTGGCATTGACATTGACATAGATTAAGATCGATAGTTCCTCCGTAAAGACATATCAAACCATGACAATCTACAATAAAACTAATATCTTACTAAAACTATTCTATAAAAATAAAATTAAACCATATAATCGTTTGTTATTCAGTTCAGAAGAATCAGCAGGTGTGTATGGTTTATAATCACCTAATTGTCTATATATTAATTAAAAAATACAAATATATGGTAAATATAAATATTTAACGTACCCAGTAACATAATCTAAACAAGAGAGAAAAATTATTATTCTTTCAATCAAAAGAAGTATACTAAATGCAAACATAATGTGACCAATTGTCATTAGGATCAACTTTACTCTTAGGACATATAGCTAATCCACATCCAATAAGTACTGCTGTATTTTTCACCATCTACATAATACAAATATGAACACAAATATCGAGTCATGTAATTTACTTGTGTATAATGTCCAACAATACCATGTTGATTCGATTTATCATGATCAAAATTACAATGATCAGCTAGAAACAGAAAAGTTATTTCTTTCCTTTTCGAAAATTTTATTTTAAAATCTTTACAATAACGTTGAGCAATTTCTGCCAAATCTACATTCCAATACTATTCATTAAAAGAATAACGTTCAAATTTTGAATAAAAATATACTGTTTCATATATTACCATTTTTTGCATATCTATAGCATTCACATCAAATCGTTCTTGATTATGCATTTCTAAAATAAGCTCAATTTCTTTGTTTGTTGGTGGCAAACTCTGTAAAGATATTTTTCGAGCACAATACGAATGATCTTTATCAATCGTTTGATATATTGATGGACATGTACATTGGAAATTGGAAAAAGTTATTATTAAAATAGCAAGATAAAACAATCGAAATTTCATGAATCAGTTGTTTTCTATGATTTATTTTTCGCGCGTTTAAGTCGTATAAAGAAAGAAATACGTGCATATGTTTTTTTTTAGTATATGTTTTCTTTTATTGTTTCTTTTTTATACTCTTATGCTGTTTTACACAAGAAGAAAAACAAAGTTGTTATGAATTACATAAATGGTAAAGTTGATAATGATACCAGGTTTTAATTGCTTAGTTTTTGTAAGCACGGCTAGCTCGTCGGCCACGAGCTTTTTCGAATTTACGACCTTTTGAACGAACTTTAGGTTTTGTTGTACTATGGCGAGCACCAGGTGGTCGACCTTAAAAAAAGAACAAAAATATTTTATTAAAAATAATATTACATTGTATGTACATACCAAAGAATCGATTGGCTTTACGAGCTTTTCGTGGACCTTGTAATAAAACTGTATTTTTACCCTTTGGTGTACGAAGTGCCAATTGATCGAATGTTAAAATTTCACCTCCAGCACCGAGAATTCTTGCTCGAACACGTTCAGTAAGATGTAAAGCACAAACTGTTAATTTAGGTACTTCATAAAGTCGTACATCATCAGTTATTGAACCAACAACAACAGCAGTTTTACTTTCACGACCTATTGAGAAAACAAAAACGAAAAAGAGAACTAATAAATTTTCTTATGAATAAACTAACCTTTCTTTTTCATATGTCGAACAAGACGTGATAAAGAAAGTGGTGGTCGATGTGTATTCGACATAAATAAACGTTTCAATATGATTTTATTGAATTTTGCACTTGTACGACGTGCCAAAAAACGGTAAAGTTTAACAAGTAAGAGTAAATATAAATTTTTTGAGCGTGGTGCACGGCGTATTGCCTTGCGATCAAAACGATGGTCGAGATCTACACCCATTATAACGGCCGAATGTTATATATAAGTATTTAAGAAAACAATCTGAAAGCAATATGTATATGTATATATTTTATATATCAAAAACATGAAAGCGTTTTTGGTTTAATAGATATGGAAGGAAATAGTGAATATATCACACTAAATAATAAAAGAAAGAATTTAGGCATAGATACTGAACAATAACTAGTTTATGCTTGATTAGATAATAAAGATTCACCAATAAAATTTTTCTCATTATTAGTTCCAATAGATGAAACTGATAATTGAATTTGACACTGATGAATTTTATCCATCAGTTGATAGAGGCGTTTCATTTGTATATTGATTGAAGATGATGCATAATGTGGACGAAGAAGAGATTTAGCTAGATCTTGTTTATCCTAAAATTAAATTCGTATGATAACAATTAGAAATTTTTATTAATTTCATACATGATCAAAAAATTCAAAATAAAGTGCACCTTGACGTTGTGGCATTGGATCAAATAACCATAAATTATTATTATTATTATTATCTCCATTATCTTTTAATTCATGAAATATTATTTCAGCTAGATTACAATAGAATGTAAGAAATCGAAGAAGAATATCTTCGGATTTTGATGATTGATCAGTTTTTGATGTAAATAAATTTAAAATATATTTTAATTCAACACCCTAAAAGAAAATAATAATAATATTTTTTTTCCGAACATCTCGAGTTTTTTTACGGTTATTTTAAGTAAATTTTCAAGATTTAATTTATTAATTGATAAATTAACAAGAATTTTTCCTGCTGATAATACTTCATCATCATATTCAATTGTTGATTCAATTAATACACCAAGTACATGAATATTATTCATATATTCTTCATGAAGATATTCAAGAACAGACATATTAATCAATAAATTAAGTCCATGAAGACGTATAATTGAATTCGCCGGACTTATACAACATAAATTGATCACTATAGTAACAATATTCTAAAATAAAACTTTGAAGATTATGAAAATACCGATAAATATCATACCGAAAATTGAGTTATAGCAAAATCATTTAAAGCAAGATTATTCAGTGCTAAAAGTATTTTACATTTTGTTGTTTCATTATCTGTTGATAAAAGTAAATCACGAAGACGTATAATACATCCAGCATTTGCTAAATTTATTTGACCTTAATATAATAAATATGAATTGTTATTCGAGTAAAATCAAATAGTATATTACTTTCTTTAAATGTTGATGCATTTGCAATACTTGTTAAAACAAGATGTAATTGTTCTTCACAATTATGACTTTCATAAAGAAAATGAGTAAGTATAGAAGCTTGATCAGGTGTCAAAGGAACACTACCATCAGGAATTTGTATTTCATCTTTAAAAATGTATTAAGTCATATTTTAAATATATATACAAATAAAATAATTACTTAAAATTTGGATTGAGTCTGAATCATCATTATCTAATTCAGATGATGAATTTATATCGATAAATTCATGATCGTGATTTGATCTTAACGATGGAAGAATTGATGTCGGACTAGGACAACGATTTATTTTTGATGCTTAATAATAGAAAGAAAAAAAATTTCAAAATAAAATTAATAAAATATGTCATTTTACATGATGTTTGTCGGTAATAACGGTACCAAAAGTAAAGAACTGTAATGGAACCCACACAGGCTGATATACCCAGTCCAATATAAAGTTTTTGTCGATTGAACATTGTATCATCAACCGACACCAGAATGAATTACTGATCATTATGCTGCTATTTTCATACAAAAAAAATAATAAATAATAAACAGAATAGGTATTCCATAGATTACCGAATTGTATTTGAAGAGAAAAAAACGCATCCTCTTATTTGCCTCTTATGTTGATAATGATATAGATGTCATCAATAAACAGTAGAAAGATCTGTTATGTCTAACTGTTTAGAATAACTAACCGATTTAATTATAAACAGTTCTACAACATGACTCTCTCATCAAGAAGATGTCGAAAGATTTCAAGGCTATATGATAAAGACTAATATTTATAATAAAAAAGAATATAAAAGATGTCGCTGAAATGTAACTAGAGCGTATTATAGAAATATGAGACCAATCATCGATAATGTGACGTACACTTTTTTCTCTCGTCGCTTTCAAACCTCAACTAAATATTATGTATTTTTAAATTTAATTAAATATTTCATATTAACAACATGATTAGAACCATATTTGTTATTATTCATTATTGAAGAAAGATCAATTTCTTTAATAGATTATGCTGTTAACCTTACTCGAATTATTTGTTACTACTATTAGTTTTGAACCAATCTTATTGAATATAATGAATATGCTAAAAGATTCTCTATTTTCTCCTTCACGTAAAGGAAAAACAAAAAGAAACTATAAATTTCATCAAGCAAATAATTCTTTAACTGATCCACTTTTATATACATTTGAAAATAATGATATAGAATTAGGAACAATGGATTCTGATGAAGAATCAACATCAAATAATGAACATAGTATTCGTACTCGTTATTCAAAACAAAATTTTAAACCAGCAGCACAAGGTGGTGGTTCAATTGTTATTGTTGAAAAACCAATATTACCAAATGAAACTATTCAAGCATTCTCTATTCGATATCGAGTACCTGTATGTTGAATCTATTTCTCTTAAGAAACAAAATCAATATATGATGATTTATTTTTAGATTTCTCAATTAAAACGTTTAAATAATTTACAAAATGATCAAGATTTCTATGCATTAACATCTTGTCGAATACCTGTACAACGTTTTGGTGTACTTCATGAAGCATCATCATCATCAATAACTGTTGATTTACATGAACAATCAACAATCTCATTACCTGTTACACATCTATCTCAACAAAATCATCATGCTTTTTTAAACGCAATGGATCAAGATTTAGCATTAATGCGTACTAAAGTTGAACAATTGATTGATACACCATCATCAACAATACTGAATTCTAATCCATTAATATCTCAGTCATTATCAACAAGAATTTTAAAACCTACAGGAAATACAACTAATGAATTAAATTGTGATGAAGCTGATTGTGGTTTTAGACTTTGGCATATCATTATGATTATTATCGTTATTGCTCTTATACCATTTATTTTTGCATATTTTTATATAAAATCTCTTCATAATCGTAAAATATGATCTTAATTTTCACTCTCTGATTTGTTATTTTATTTATTTTAAAAAAAAATATAATCATAAAGTTAATAATTTGTTGTGCTCAAGTGTCTCAATTAATTCATAATTTGAATTTTTAATAAAGAAATAGTAAATAATCAAAGATTTATTTATTTAATGTTCATCAAAAATTAATAAGAATATCCAGTATACCCATAATTCGTAGATGGATAACTACTGTGTCCAGAACCATATGCTCCTTGATAGCCGTAATAGATATCAGGATGACGGCCAATAACATTATCACGATTGAAATCAATATGAGTTCGTCTTTCTAATTTACTCATAAATCCTAACAAAAAAAAATATTAAAAATCTAAAATATAGATTGATTTTAATTTACCTTCTCCTCCGATATAGCCATCACCATTTAGATCGTAACCAACACGACGTTCAATGTTATTGACTAAAAAGTCTAGTAAGAAAAAAAAATTTCAATTGACAAACTTTTCTTTCAAAAAAAAACCTTACTCATATTTGTTTACTATGTTGAAAATACGATAAAAACAAAGTTATAATATTTAAATATATTCTTGCAATTGATTTCAACTTATATAGTCTCTTCTTTGAGTGTCGTTTGACGTATTTCATTATATACATTTTAGAGTATTGGTCATGCTTACATAATTTGATGTAATTTGTTATTTTTGTTACAGTAGTTATACTTATCGATTTTAGTAGAAGGTGTGATATATACGTAAATGGGCGTTGATATTACGATATTTCAATAAAAATATTTAAACTTCACTATTGAATGATAATAGCAATCCTTTTTTTTCTTTGTTAGAAATATTATAAATTTTTAAGTTCGATATATTTATTTTAGATTAATCAGAGAATATAAAACCAAATTGTTATTTATCTGATTCCAAAGATAAACTATAGTTAGCAATTTATAAAAATAAAACATACATTCTAATTAATAATATCGATACATATTTTTTTCAATAACTATAAAGATATGACATATAAATCGTTTCATACTTCTATTAATAGATAACCATACATAACATTATCATCATCATCATTCAAATCACTATCAATATTTCGTTTTCCAAGAGAATAATGTAATTTATAAAAATTTTCTACAACGATAGAATATATAAATTATTTTTTATATGTGAAATTTCATGATAAATACAAAAGACACAGATTATAAGCATTTACTAGAATTGTTCAAAATAACACATTAATTATGTTGATCAATTTTATGAAAATAATAATTTAGTTTCTTTGGAAATTTAAAATAGAGCGTATTTATTGTTTACCAAGCTAAAAAATTATATGAAATAGAAGAAGTTGTTACTAGAATCAAGATAACTAAATTTAAATTCTGTTTCATTAAATAAAACATTACTAAAACTAGAGTAATACTGTTTAAAAAGTTTATAATTAAAATATTTAAGATTTCTAATGGATCGTGAAGGTTATTAAGTTTTTTTTATAAGCATTTTTCTTGTTTATAAAAGTTAGATATTATCAGTGATCATATAATAGTGAAAGTACAGTAGATATGTTCATTCTTACATTTCAAAGTTTTATAATATAATAATTTATCGAAATTTTCTTTATGCTACCCAAATATGAAATGAAAACGCAGAAATATAACTTTTTCTCGTACATAAAAAAATACTATTTCACTCTTTTTAAGTATTGTCAGTTATTACATGAAGATATACATCAAAATGCTGTCGTAGTTAGTATAACAATCTTTTGGCAACCACACTCAATCCTTTTGTTATAAACTTTGTATAAAAAGTTCTTAGTTAGATATCATATATGCGTGTAACCATAAATCCTTATATTCATATAATTGTGAATGATATATGGTACCAGGATAAACCATTCATAAAAGTTTTTCTTATAATTGCAAAGGTTGATCGCATTCTATGATTCTTTTAATGATATAGCATCTTGAGGGTGGGTGCGGATTTGAATATAAGATGAATATTAACTACACTCACACCCATACTCATCCAGACACACACTCCACATCCATCCAGGCTCCCACACCCCAGGCACCCACATGTCTAGACACACACGCTCAGACACGCATACATCCCGCACAATCAGTGAGTGATATCTGTGGACGCTAATACGATGAGAGGTATATTATTGAAAGCTAGCTATATTCTTCAAGTTAAAAAATAAAGACAAAATTATAAGAAAGATGTAAAAAATCTCTTGCGAACCTCATACGGTTGGAGAGTATATACCGGTCATGTTCTTTAGAAATTTATTTACTGTTCAGACTTGCTTGAAGCCACAGCAGCCTTCTGTAAGTAAGACATTCCTTCATTTAGTCGGTTCTGTTTATAATATGCCCATCCAATAAATCCATACATTGAAGGGTCTCTATGCCCAACTTTTATCAGCTGAAGAAAACTTTCCATTGCAATATAATAAGCTTCATCATGGATAGATTGTTTACTTAGCGCGTAATATTGCGCGATCAGCTGGGGTCCTGAAAGTATATTGCTGCCTGTTTGTCGAAAAGTCGAAATTAAGTCTTCGTTTTTTTCCTCATCAGATAATGTTTCATAGTAATTCAATGCTTTTAATAGTAGACAGACTAGAGGCTCAACCGGTGATAATACAAAAGTATCAATACTGTTGCTTATATCTTGTAAACATTTCGTTCCGGTTTGGTTAAGGGGATTTCCTGCAAGGCATGCCGCTGCAAAATGCAAAGCCATTTCTGTGACAACCGGAGCAATAGATGATATTTGATATGTTGAACATGCAGAAAGTGCCTTTCGATAATACGTGATTCCCAGTTGATACTCTGTAAGGTTATAATAGGTTCTTCCGAATAAATAATAAATTCCGACTAGTAATTCACAATCTTGGTAGTTCCGCTCACTTTTAGATAGAGCATTCTTACAGTGAACATACGCTTTTGAAAGCACTGAAATTACTATTGAATATAACACGAGTGGAAAGTGAACGAGTGCAATATGGTAATAAACTTTAGCTAGTCTGGAATGTGTCAGATGCTGGTTGCTTAATTGTAAATGTCTTGGCTCTGAGGCAACGAAAAGTGAACGATCTTGTGTAAAGATAGTATCCAAAGCACGATCAAAATAATGAAGTGCCTCGCGATATCTTCTCAATCCATAATTAATCAGTCCTGAGTAATAAAAATTCATGGTACAATATTTCATGTTCTCTGTTATTTGTGGTAATAATTGTGTTTGTGTTGACGAGCCTGAATGAATAGCTACAATGCGTAGATGATTCAATATCCCATGTAAAAACCGATTGATAATAAGAGGTTCAGTATAATTTGTTGAGATTTGTTGAATTAAGTCGGATATAGCCGGATCGATAAGATATTCAGTTGGCTCACCCTCTTCTGATGGACTTGCTTGTAAATATTTATGAGCTTCTTTATATTTACCGAATTCTATAAGAATGGACACCAGCGTCTGCAACGTACAATCGGTTTCATCAATTTTCCTCCTGTAATATTGAATATATTGATTAAATTGTGTATCAGGGCCGTCTGTTAATGATAACACGATTACCCGGCGTTCACCTTCATATCGAATTTTTTCAAGACGAAAAACACTACCGATTACAAATAAATATTCATCTTCGTCTTTGAAACGACTAAATTGTTTTATATCAGCAAATGGTTGTCTACCCCGCTTAATAACATCTCTATCAAGATAAATTTCATAGACAATCGATTCCTTTTCTGGTCGATGTTCTCCATTAGCAGAGTAAATGTGAGCAACTTCTCGATCTGTTGTAGTTGACCAAAAGCTATTGACTACTACAAATGAGCCGATAAGGCCTTCAATTACATTGAATTCCTTTGCGCTTATAAGTTCTCCACGAAAAAGCACAGAAATGTGTTCTAATTCATTTTGTTGTATCTTATGAAGAGATTGTAAATTATTGTATAAATCAACGAAAAAGAACCGATATCGAAACATTATATCGATATTTTCTGTTCGAAATCCTTTGTTGATCATTCGATAAAAAGGACCATCACGCGTGTACCATTCTATAGCATTTTCAGAATTGTATTTTTCTTCAAATTCAACTATCAAACCTTCTTCACTTGATCTGTACTCAGGTCTTGATCGTATTTCATTCAAAAACTCTTGTTTTAGTTGGTACGTGTTTAATGTGATCTTTAATAAAACTATAATAATTAGTTTGAAGCGTATTGGCTCAAAATTCAATTTCGCTTCGTTTGCCTTGCTCAAATTATTAAATGTGTTTTGTTTTGTAAAGATTAACGTCGATCTTGAAGGTTCTCTTAAGTAAAGTTTTGCATCAACTTCTAACTGGTGTAGAAGTCTATTCATATTACTGTAAACTACGGAAACGTTGGAAGTCAATGATTGTTCCACACTATTGCAGTAAATGTAGGTCTTCGTCACACAACGGAAACTGGAAATCATTTTTATACAATCTTCGCTAATTGACGATGAAACAACTAAGGTTATATTTGCTTCCATTTGTGTTATCGATAAAATTTGATAAAAACAAAGAATGAAATTAGTATATGTTTGGATATTATACAAAGATTCTAGCTTGTTTATTGCATGAACTGAATTCGAACTGGCAGTCATTTCAGGATCCAGCCATATAAGAATACGATCATCTGAATCGCTGTTATCAACTGAACTCATTTTCGTTCAAATCGCGAAAACACAAAATTTTATTTATTAATCAATACTACACGCACTAAAAGAAAAATGAATACAATCTCATATCCTTCAATCATAGTTTATTTTCAAGATATACGGTATTTAATATTAGGATTCGTATTTTTCCTTGATCGATTCGATCTGAACACCTTTCCAATTGAATTATCGACCATGGCAGATAAATCTTCTAGGAATGCAGGGACTCTAGGTGTTTCATGCAGTGTTTTATCTAGCTTTTTTCGTCCGAGGGTGCGAAATTAACTGCCGGGAGGGCAAAAATCTCTCTTCTGGGGGGGGGGGGGGGGGGGGGAATGTGTGTTTTTGCCTGGTTGTGGGTGTTTTTGTGGGGGGGGGGGGGGGGGGGGGCAGGGGCACCCTCCGATAGGGCAAAAAGCCCCGTGCTCCTCCCCCTCCCCCCGCTGGATAAACCACTGGTTTCATGCGATAACGAAAAAGGATGCACTAAGAGTACCGTTCTAAATATGTCGTTCACGTTTCCAAATAGATCTTAATCATATCTATCGGATGGACATCTTTGCAGCTCGATTTGATGCGTTCTCTTCTCCTAGACAAGAACAATCGAAAGTGGAGGGGGAAAGTATAAGACCAAAAATTTGTATTATTATACTTACCCATAAAGACAAGAACAGACGCTCTGATGACTGTCATACATATATGGGACATTGAGCTACTTAGCACATATGCAGGTGATAGAAAAGTTCTCTCTCCCCTTTCGCTGGAAGCAGTTTGTTTTTCCGTCAGCGGAAATAAACATAAGAACAAAGACGAATATATTCAAGTTGTTTGTTAGAACCGCATGAATTATAGCTGAAAAGTGGTTTAAATGTTTCGTTTTACTTTTTTCATCCATTTTGAGACACATTTATATTGATCTATTATAAATAAGGCGGTTACTCCGTCCACAAGACCCCAGGCCATAGATGGAACCGGTCCGATTTTTTGATGACCGGTACCGGTACCGGTTCCATTTCTGCTCCAAGCTGTTGCTTTGCTCAGTATCAGCATCTTGAGGGGTGCGGATTATATTAGACGCAAGATACTCACACCCAACTGTGTAGACAATTCTTTTGAAAGTAGGCACGCACCAATTCCGATTCGGTTCGGTTCCAGTTCTAGAATTGGCTGGAATTGGTTAGGATTGGAATTGGTCAGAATTGGTTGGAATTGAAATCGGTTAGAATTGGTTGAAATTGATTTGGAATTGACTAAAAATGACTAGAAATCGTAGGAAATTTCATGTCATTCACTGAAACTGATCGAAGCTAAGACTAGATTAGTACGGATCACTATAAATTACTGGAAATTGATCTGATTCAGCCAGTATTTATGAAAATTTTTCTAATATTGGCTTACAATTGATCAGAACTAACACAAAACTGAATAACTAGTGTCAATCCTTAAGCACTATAATTAATAATAAAAATTAGAATTCACTGGAATAGAAATAACAAAAGTTTATTTCTATTCCAAGTCAATATTAGAAAAATTTTCATAAATACTGGCTGAATCAGATCAATTTCCAGTAATTTATAGTGATCCGTACTAATCTAGTCTTAGCTTCGATCAGTTTCAGTGAATGACATGAAATTTCCTACGATTTCTAGTCATTTTTAGTCAATTCCAAATCAATTTCAACCAAATCTAACTAATTCCAATTCCAACCAATTCCGACCAATTCCGACCAATTCCAATTCTAGAATTGTTATTGGAATTGGAATTGGTTCTTGCCTATTTGAAAGGAACTGATCTGTGTCAACAGTTCTTTGATTAGAACTGACCTGTTCTAACAGTTCTTTAAGAAAAACTTATCTATGGTAAAACTCATTTTTTCAATACGAGTTGGAATATTTCTTGAAGAGATATTCCAATTTCTAAAGCCATGATAAAAATTCGTCAAAAAAAGTCACAATTCGTATTGAAAAATAAGTTTTGAAACAGACCAGTTCCTATAAAAAAAACTGTTCACACAGATCGGTTCCTGTCAAAAGAAATATTATATAGTTCCTAAGATCGGAACTAATATGGAACTGTGCTACCCCTAATTGCGAGCGATCATTTAATATAAATTTTTGTGCATAGAAAATTCATCAGATTAATTATTCTATTTCTGAAAATTATTTAATCATGAGAGTTTGGGTATAAGTGTCTTATTTTTAACATAATCCATACCCCCATGTACACCCAAGTAGGTGAAACATCAGTTCAGCTGAGAGTGATATATAATATTCCACGATCGAAACAGAGTCGGTGTAATAATAAGTTGCGATACTCTCTAAAATTCGATACTCCACTGAACTCCCAAAAAACGTTCAGCAGGTATCGAAAAGCCTCCAAATATGCCCAAAGTCACAGAAAAAGAATAAAAAATGTACGAAACCTATGAAGGTTCTTGTCGTGTATCCAAGTGAAGAACCTTTATAGGTTTCGTAGAATATTTATTCTTTTTCTATGACTTTGGGCATATCTGGAAGCTTTTCGATATCTACTGAAATCTTTTTTATGGGTTTAGTACAATACCGATTTTGTTTAGAGTGTACTATATTATATGTTTTGGGTTTTCGTATAGGCTCCGCCTACTATTTGTTACAATAGCGTGAGGATGAAGTAGGAAATATAAAAACTATGGTTCGCTTCTAACAGAGTTAAAATATATTAGATACTGTCATTAGATAAATCTAATGATTTAAAGAAATTCCATTAGCCAGTCATATTGCTCTAGTACTTCTAAATAGAGCAACAGTTCTCAGTATGAGTGATATAGCTCGAATAGTATAAACTAGATACAAATAGTAACCAAGTAATTACCGTTAAATAATATTCAAGTACGATAGAAATCCAAGAAGAATAACTGAATATACGTGTTGTAAATATAAATGAAACAAATAAATAAACGAATATGTAGAGAGGAAAAATGTTAATATTTTTTATACATACGACTTATTGATGCATAAAATATCCTTTTTTCTTTTATATCACGAAAAAAGAAGAAAGCAACAAAATACAAAAGATAATGCATATTTTAATTTTTTTGTGTATTTAATGCTAATTGCTTATAATTAGAGATAGATAGAAAAGATAAATCGAAATAATTAATCATTTGTCTTACCTGAATAAAATATATGTAGGTAGTCATATTCGAAAGCTTCTAGTTGGACGATGTTTTTTTTCATTTTATGTATAATTATCGTGTTTTATGATTATCAGAGTTCTCAAAAATATTTATTCGTTAACAGACAAAAACAAATATTTTGTAAGTATTTTGCTATTATTAGAAACGAAGAGTTGTTACATATGACACTTTTCAGATTTATATTGTTCAGATTCAGAAATCATTTTATATAAAACATAGACTGATCGGTGAAATTTTTGTCTTAATGTAGGACTGTGTTATGTGTGCTCTTTATTGATCTTTAGAAGAGAGTATTTGAGTCAAAAATTATTCATTCTCAGAACAATATGGATATAATTTTATAGTTAGTTTAAGATATTACTCGTTAAAAAAGTAAAGTCTGAATGAAACTGAATAAATGGTTTCGAATTAATATTAAACATTGATTATACAATATTTATTAGACTTTTATACTGCTCAATAAAACGTTTGCTCGGTTGAAATCGATCGAAACTGCAAAATTCTCTAGACATTAATCCAAATTATAAAACCAATTATTATCCAGGTTGAGCGGTGGTCGGCCATGAGGAAATTTGTAGGCATGTAATCAGAGGAGGGTTATAGTTGATTGAAATCACAAATTTTTAATGAATTATAACTGATTGGGTATTTTTAGTGATAAACAAAGATTGAGAATCAATCATGCATAGCATACAAGCAAATAAACGAAATGGCTAATACTAATATTTGAGCTTAATAACAATAAATTCTCACTCAACACAGTATATTCTTAGAAAAAAAAATCAAACGCTGATGTAACGATTCAAATCACCTTGAACAGAAGACAAAACTTCATTGTTAGTGTAAAATCATTTAATGTTTCCAGTATTTTATCAGTGTAGAAATGGGCATTTTTATTTTTATTTAACTCACACATCGATACATGTGTTTTACATTATGTGATGTATTTACCTTCGCAAAATCATATACATTATCGATGTAATATAATTGCAGTGCGCAAACAATGATAAAAATGATACGAAAAAGAATATAAAACTAATGAAGCATAAATGAATGCGAACAGAACAGAACAAAACATACACAAATATTTTTAACGGCCATCTGCGCTGCACATTCTTCTACCTATTCAAAAAAAGAATGCAAGTGATTGATTATTTTAGAATTTTTCAAAAAGGATTATTTTTATACATCAACTATAATTCTTATCTTGTATAATTATTAATAATCATGATAATAAATATTAATTCATATTAGTGAATGTTTCTTTATATAAAAGAAAATTCTTATAAAGTCGTCTTAAATATATCTATTATTTTAAGACAAATTTATGTTTAGATAATTATTTAAATGAAATTTAGAATTTATTCTACAATTACATTTATTATTATCACTGTCATATCTATTTTTATTAATAAAAATATGTTGTATATTCAAAAGAAAAAGATTTTTATTGATTGAATTTATTCAAATATTTTAATGCTAAAATAAATAGAAATTATGTTAGTAAAACTATTAATTCAAACAAAGTATAAGAGAAATATTTTCAATAAAGCTCACTGTTGTATTAATAATTTTGTCTTATTGAATATAATCTGAAAGAAATTATAGTCAAATAATTACTTCAATGGATAGTAAAAAAATCAATTGTTACATGTGTTCTTATATAATATTAATAATAATAATATTGTTCATAAAGACTAATAGATAATTTTAAAATGATTTTCTCAATAATAATACATATATAGCTATGCAAATGTCTTTTACTGATTATCTATTTTTTTCTAATATATATATAAAATTAGTTCTGAATCAAACTATACTTAATTTTATAAAGAATTTCGATCAGCATATTTTGATATAAGCGAAGTATTTTAATGAAGTAGATAAATGAAGAAAAATTGCGAAAATATTAAGACTTAACATTTTATTTTACAGTATGTTTACAAGATTCATTAATTAAATCTAATATTATAAAAAATATCAAAAATTAAATCCAAACTATTGATTAGTTTTTATTATTATGTTGCCATAAAATAAATAATACATATACTTCACATAAACATGTGGATAGATATTATCAGAGGTACGGTAATTGTTATTGTCTACACCATATTTTCAATACAAAATATGAACATCAAGTGCAATTATTTCAATTGAATAAATAAAGAAAAGATTTTTGAGTGAAAATATTTGATTTATTAGCAAAAATGTTGATCGTTGTTGTTAACAATATGATTTTTAGAGATAGTGAAAAGTTTAAAAAATATTTCATAGTAGAATCTATGAGACAAATAACAGAATTTTGTTGATTATGAAACAATGATTTGAGTGAAAGATAATATATTATATTCATTAATATAATCACCAACAATGTATTTTATATAAAGAAAACATTCATAATAGGTCAGTTAAAACTTCATATCAATTTGAGAATAATTAAAAAATTAATTTTAATTATTCTTTCAAGGTAATCATATAACACAATCATAGTATAAGGAAATTCTATAGATTACAGTTTTAATCAACCAGATTCTATATCTAATACAGCTCATTTTACATGAATTGTTTTAGAAAGATACAAAAATATTAGATATTGAAAATATATTTAATAAACAAGATAAAAATATGTATATTGTTGGTCAATATAGTTCATTAGACAATTACTGTGAAGCATATAATATAAATGTTTTTCATCCGAAATATTAACTAATTCAATAAATCATTTATATTTGTTTTTTTTTATTCGCTTTTCTTCCTAAATTTAATCTTGCGCATCAAAAATATGTGTCAATCCTTACAGTAATAATATTTTAGGAATCAATTCCCATTAGTAATGCACAGTTGTAAAACTAAAATACATTCATGTAGATAGGGTGTGGGTGTGGAATGCACAGAATACCGTCACTGGCACCCACACCCACCCATACTCTCAAGATCAGAATTTTAAACTAACATTACCGACTTCTTTTTACTGAGAGGACATTTCTGAGAGGACATTTTCAAAAGGACATTCTTGACTGTATTCAGAAATATATGGTTCATTATTTCCTTCTCCTTTTTCATTCGTCTATTATTTAGTTCTTTTTCATGTTAGTATCGAAGATCTCATTGAACAGTGCTCAAATCATTTAAATTGAGTAGCAAATTTTTCTCTTTTTCTCTTTACTTCATCCTTCAGAATAAAACAAGGAGAAATAAATAGAAATCGATTTGTTCTTCCTTTTGAAACGGGAACTCGACTGAATAATTGAAATGACTTTTACATAAATGTCATATTTTAATATTGTTTGTAAATGTGAGTCAGCAGATGATCTGTAATAAAAAAAATAAATTTAAAACAAAAATAACTTCATTCATTTCTTTTTTATTCTGGAGAAGAATTACGACGTCAAGCTAAATGTAAAGGTCTTACAACTTGTCTGATACGAGATGCAGGTATCATAATAAATTATTTTATAATTTAAAATAAATTTAATTTCATAAGACGAACACAGATTGAACCTGGTAATAAAACAGTACTTGGAATTGGACCAGGTTTGTACTTAGCATAATATGCAATTGTTAAGAATAATTTTGTTTTTTTTTATTTTCAGCATCTTCAAAATCGATTAATGAGATAACGCGTCATTTGAAATTGTACTGATATTTTGTTTTTTGTATTTCATGTTTACTACATTTATTTTCATGATGAAAGTTTATTATGTCAATAAATATACATATATGAAAACTTGAATTTTAGATGAGTGATACAACTACAACAACTGTTCCATCAATATCAACATCGAATAGAAATACAATGACAGGACATATTAATCATTTTGGAAAATATATTAAACTTAATGTAGGAAATCATTTGTTTTTAACTAGTTTTCATACTTTAACTAAAGAAGAACATGATGGTAAACATTTTGATTTAGTTTTAAATTATTTACGTGATGGAACAATTAATTTACCTGAATGTAATCAAATATTAAATGAATTATTACATGAAGCAAAATTTTATTGTATAGAATCTCTTATTGAACAACAATTACGAACACGTTCAAGAAAAAATGCCGGTGATACAGATGCTTGTTGTAAAGTAATTATGTTAACATCAGCAAAAGAATTACCGAATATAGTCACGACAGTACGTAAACCAATTGTTAAATTAGCTATTAATCGGCATAATAACAAATATTCATATACGGCGTAAGTTGATTAGATGTAAATAAATTTTGGGAAAAAAAAACCTTTTTTTTATTTTTCTTAGTTCATCAGATGAAATGTTAATGAAAAATATTGAATTATTTGATAAATTAAGTATTCGTTTACATAATAGAATATTATTTATTAAAGATGTAACTGGAAGCGAAGAAATATGTTGTTGGAGTTTTTATGGTAATGGACAAAAAATGGCTGAAGTCTGTTGTACATCAATTGTTTATGCAACTGAACGAAAACAAAATAAGGTTGAATTTTTTGAAGCAAGAATATATGAAGAAACATTAAATATTTTACTATATGAAAATCGAAATGCATCTGTCGATGAAATAATTCGTGCAACAACACCACGTTTTGCATCAGCTGCATTGACTGATGATGATTTAGATGAAGAACGAAGTATAAGTACAACTGTTGTACCAACAACAAATCGATCAACTAGAAAACGTTAAGAGAATAAAAAAAATTATTTGCCTGCGTGTGAACCCCTTTTTCGTTATATACATATATCTTTATTATTTATGGTTGTATTGAGTCAGTTATTTTTGTTTTATGTATTCTTTTAATTTCTAACCTAAAATGTTTTTTTTCTTGTGTGTTTATAGTCATTTCAATAAGAGAAATACAAAATAAAATATTTTCGCAGATCAATGAATATCTTGTTTTATTGTGATTGATTTCTATCTGTTGTGAAAAAAATCATGAAGAATTTCGTCAAAGTTTAATTAAGAAACAATCTAGTGATTACAGGAACTCATAAAATTGTTGAAATAGAGTCGTTTGTAATCACTCGATCAACGGCAAAAACAATGAGTTTAACATTAATTATTATTTAATCTTTTTATTGTCAATATGTGTGTCAGATTGAGCAGATTTTATTGATCGTTCACAAAAAAACACGTTTATTTTATATTTATTCTTGTGTAATTTCAATATACGAATACAACACAAAAGTAAATGCTGCGAGACTTTTAATGTTTTACTTACAAAGAAAATGTGATTTTTTGTCAGTTACAATACTATCTCTTATCTATAAAGAAAGTTGTGAGAAATCAATTCTTTTTCTTTTTGTTCTTTGTACTCACCTGACTCTATAACGTATATGAAATGATAAAAAAGACAAAGTTCTATTATGCATAATCTAAATAAATATACAAAGATAGATAACAGCGCCGTACTGCTCTTTACACAAAGAGTTTCCACTCTCATATAAATAATATAGCTTATTCATCTCCTTCACTTTTATCTATTCAATCGAAAAACTCATACGATACACGAAATGGACGCAATATCTAATAGCAGCGAACGGCGAAGACGTATTGTACAGGATCATCTACTGATTTGGTTAGATGAGTCTATTGACGAAACAAACAAAGATTACAAACATATTTTGACACAAATACAAACCAGTGCCAACAATATCAGCGTCTTTACACAGAGAGATGAATGCGTCGCCTTTCTTTCCGATAGTGAAGACATCAAGTCTTTTCTCGTTGTGGAGAATACTATTGCTCAACAAATTATATCTTTCATCAATGATATTCCTCATTTAGATAGTGTTTATATCTTTGGTAACATTAAATCCCAACATGAAGAATGGACAACAAAATGGCAGAAAATCAGGAGCGTTCATACAAATATCGATGACTTATGCAAAGTATTACAGCTGGGTATCAAGAAATGCAATCAAGACTCAATTGCCATGAGTTTTGTCACAGCAAATGAAATGGCTTCAGCTGATAATTTAAATCAGTTGGAACCAACATTTATGTATACTCAAATATTCAAGGATATTCTTCTTGATATGGAATACGATGAACAGGCCATTGCACAGTTTACAACTTATTGTCGACAACATGATTGCGGATCGGCAATCACTATTGATCGATTTGAAAAGGAATACTATGCTCAATCAGCTATTTGGTGGTATACTTATCCATCATTTATCTATTCTATGCTGAATAATGCTCTTCGCTCTATGGAAGGCGATACCATTATTAACATGGGCTTTTTCATACAGGATCTTCATCAACAAATTCAACAATTACACGAACAACAGGTTAATAGTTATAACGGCAAACCATTTTTAGTTTACCGGGGACAAGGTTTATCCAAAACAAATTTCGAAAAACTACAAAGAACAAAACGCGGTTTAATGTCCTTTAATAACTTTTTATCCACGAGCACCGAACAACACATAGCTCTCGGACTCGCTACAACTGCGTCACACAACACAGATATGGTAGGCATTCTTTTTATAATGTCCATTGATCCTTGTGTTAAATCACCACCATTTGGCTCCATCAAAGAGATGAGTTATTTTAAGGAAGAAGAGGAAATCCTCTTCTCAATGCATACCGTCTTTCGAGTGGGTACAATTGAAGAAATGGAAAACAACAATGAGCTTTATCAAGTTCAATTACAATTAACCTCAGATGATGATGTGCAACTACGATTGCTTACTGATCGGATACGAGAAGAAGTCGGTGGTACTGGATGGCAGAGATTGACTGACTTATTGATTAAAGTTGGTCAATTTAATAAAGCTGAAGAATTTTATAATGTATTAATTGAACAGACATCTCACGAGGATGAAAAGCAACATTACTATAATCGACTGGGATATGTCAAAGATGAACAGGGTGATTATGAAAAGGCTATTTGGTATCATGAACAAAGACTTGAAGTCTATAAAAAAACTCGTCCATCAAATCATTCGTCATTGGCTACTTCATACAGCAACATCGGTAGTGTGTATGACAAGATGGGAGAGTACTCGAAAGCACTGTCATTTTACGAAAAAGTACTTTTCATACAACAAAAAAATCTTCCTTCAAATCATCCTAATTTGGCTACTTCATACAACAATATCGCTTGCTTGTATGACAACATGACAGACTATTTGAAAGCCTTATCATGTCTTGAACATGCTCTGAACATATGGCAAGGTGCACTACCTCCAAGTCATCCTCATATAAAAACGGTGAAAGAGAGTATTGAAATTGTTAAAAAGAAATTATAAAGAATATTTTATAAATAAATAGAAAAATCTTTTGTTCACGTTTTTTTTGATTTAATTGTATTTTTTAGTTTCTCTAATTCTTTACGAGTGTTCCGTGTAATAAAAAAGAATAACTTATATTGAATTGAACTGTGATAGTGTTGAACGAGACCTTGTATGATAAAGAAAAAGTTAAAAAACTGCAATATTTATACCGATATGTCATCAACACATGCTTTAATGGAATCAATAAATTTAGACATATTGATGATATGATAAATTATAATTTATTTTAAAAAGTTGAAAAGTCAATTATAGTCCTCTGATCTCAGATTCAGGCTAAGCGAGAAATTGTTTGAAAAGGTATCTTAGAATGAAATCTCATTTTTGAATCACCACACTTAAGTGTTTGATAGAGGACACTATAAATTATAGAAATAGATCAACTAAATTAAATGTATGCGAAAAAACAACTCATTTGAATAACAAAGTGACATTCGCAGATAGTTCTTTTTAATGGAAATAATTGAATGTTGTTGCCTACTTTTACATTCCGAGATCGAATATGAGCAAAAACGAAGATATATAACTATACAGTAATGAACAAATTCTAGTTTTATCTATTTTATATTATTGTGCTGTTTTTCAGGTTGCCGTCGTAGATCATAAAGGCTACTAAGTATTTTTATTTGATTATGTTTCATTCATTTGATGAACAGTTGCAATAGTTTATTTTGAAAAGGAAATACACTAATAAAGAATGCAGGGATAGAAAAAAAATAAAACTAATCGTGTTTATACTATACCAACTTGAGATAAGTTCAATTAATATAGTGATACCAGTAGATATTCGTAAAGTCAAGATCGATCTACAACCTGAAGAATTAATCAAAAACTAACGAGATAAGTCTTATTTTAGATAATCTAAATTAATTTAAAATACTAAACTTTATCTTCTGTTTCTAGCAATAGAATTAAGAATGATCAAAATTATTCGTATTCTATGTTTTTTTTTGAAAATAATCAATATCCATCATATAAAATCACATGTATAAACGAAAAATTGATTATTTATAACATTTAATCATGTTTTCATAGTTAAGACCTTTATATCATTTCATATAGATAACATTTTGTCTTGATATAAAAACAAATATTTCTATACAAGATAAATATTTCGTATTAAAAAACAATAATTTAATTAGAATTACAAGTTAAAAATAATATGCAATTCAAACGTTGTTTTTAAATCTTTGCTTAATTATATGATATAATTTTAATGCTTAAATTAATTATACTTTAGCTAAGTGATTCAAAGGAACAACATGATTTATGAAACATTTAGCAAATATTTTTTCTCTCGTGATATCATTCGTCAGATTTATATAATTCGACAGAAATTCCTAATTTGAAAACCATCATGTAATGCCATTTTTATGAAACTGATAACATGATGTTTTTTTTCTTTCTTTGTTAAATAACTGGATAATATCTACTTCAATGTTAACACCTTTAACACAAATATAAGAAAAAAGTCTGATTTTCTTTTATTATTCTGAAGAAATAGTATTAACAGGGTTAACAGTAGAACGTGTACGGTTTAAAAATAAATAGAGCCACATTATTACTAATAATAAAAGTAACCATACCTCACCAGAATACAAACGTACAGCAATGATAAGAATAACAATAATAAAAGCAATATAAATTAGAACATATGTCGTTTGAGTAAAAAAAAGAAGAATGAAGAAAAGATTCAATGAAATAATAGTAAAACTCCTCTCCTCTACTGCGTAGTACATCAAAGCTATATAATAACTAGTGATAATAATCATACAAACAGTATAAATAAAAATAATAAGAAAAGAAGTATAGCTTTGAGAAAAATAAATTAAAATATAAATTAAAATCAGATGAAGAAATGAAAAACAAATAACCAAAACATAACGCACAATAACGTTAAGAATACTACCCAAAGATAATACAAAACCAATAAAAATAAGAAAATCACAGCTACATAGAATATATAAAGATGCATTGAACAAACACGAAATGAAAAGATTCTGAATATTAAACTGAAGAGAAGTATCACGATGATTAATTATAGCAAAAACAATACAAATAAGAATATAACCACAAAAACCAATAAAAACATAATAGCCAATACCATGAGTAGAAGAAGGAACGTTATAACCAATGTCTTTATCATTACTTGTACTGTCAACAATGCTAAAGTATAACCACATGAGATAAACCATGTTTGAATTGATCATTTTTTTAAATCTTATTTTGTATATGTGATTCGATGCACGTTCGTCTCTTCTTTCCAATGGTGAAAATTATATATCTCTATCAAAAATGAAGAATATTTATCTACTTATATTTACCCTGAATAATCAATGAAATAAAGAGAAATTGTTTTTAAATTTTATCTTTTTTTATAACCGGTTGACGTAAGAAAAAAAGGAAGCGTCGATATATATATTGATGAAGATCGAATTAATAGATACTAAGCATGTTAGACACAATATTGCATGGTATTTATAATTACTTTCGCTTTTTTTCTTACTCATCGGATGTCATGCTTGAAAAACATGAAAGGCAAATATATTATTTTTTTTTCAAACAGTTATTCTATACAAACTTGAGAAAAAAATATTTAATATGATTCACTCAAAATATGATTAATTAAATATTATCTATCGATCGATTGTCTAATTACTCAAAAAAATATGTGAGCTTATTCACGTAAAGCAACACTTTGCTGATCAAGTTTTGAAAAAATTTAAATATGCTTCTAGATGCAGTTTTTCAGAAAATGCGTTGCGACATATCATTTGATGCAGAATTTTATTCTCTCATGGATGAGTTCTTTAGTTTTCACTTTGATAATTGAGGATGCTCTATAGCTTTGTATGTAGTTTCCAACTTTCTACTCAGATTGTGTGCTCCCATTTGTTTTATAGAATACTTAGCTATACATAAGGACTCACCCTTCGAAAAATTGAATCGTCTTGATCATACAAGATAAGAAATGTTTTTGAACTTAAAATGCGCTTTATCTGAAGTTTTTCCTAATATGAGAAGCAGACTGATTTCGTGATTTCGAATTATGAAATTAGTATCAACATTTATTTAAAACAAATAAAAAATAGTAAGAAATCAGGTTATGTAAATCAGAATATTTTGTTTATATCGTTAACCTTAATAGTTACATCATATATATACTTTACTTTTGTAATTTTCGTCATCGTGTATAATTGTCTTTCTTTATAGTCAACTACTTTCGGAAAGTAAAGCATCAATTAATGAACAGAAATCTGGTAGATTTTTTCAGTTTTGATCTGAGAAATGTGACACATATATAGAAGATGATGATCATTTTTATTTTTCAATATCTAATTCATAAAGAGTATTAATAAAAATATTGTTCTATGATTGAATTCAATACTATCTCAAAGTATCTTCCTTGTAATGTAGTTTAATAATAAATTTTAAAAGAAGAATTTGAACGATAGTTAAAAAAATTTTTGATTGTCGTAGACAACAATTTACAAAATTAAATCATACACAGGTTAATTCCTGTTCTAACAAAAGTATTGACACAGTTTAAAACAAAATTAGATTCATAAATGATTTTGTCTTTTTACATAGTTTTTTTTTTGATTATTTAATTGAAGGTTGATTCATCGGAAATTAAAAACGTCTATTTCAAAACATCGAATAATCTTATTCAAGAGCGGATGTACATTGAACGTTAAAATGATTTGAGGATGGGTGTGGAGGAAAGTGAGGCAAGCTGACTATGATGCGGGTGGATGTGGGTATCGGTAACGGTAAATGAAGAAAAGATTTCCACGCCCACTCACATCCACACAAAAAAAGTAAGAGCGTTGTTTTTATTCTAAAAATCATTTCATGTTAAAAGCAAATCCCATAATATTAATAATATTGAGGGTGTGAGTGTGGGTGCAGCTTTCATACTCATATGACGCTTATTCACTCTGATTTTAATGATAAATTGAAAATTTCTACAAAAACAACATAGATTATTTTAACGAACAACAAATAGTTTTTGTTAGTTTTCGAGCAATTTCTTTTAAATCAACGGTCAATAATCTATTCATTGCTGTTTGACTTGAGGACGTTGTGCTCTTTCATTAAGTTCTATAGCATTCACACGAGTTTGTCTACAACCACATATAAATTTCATTTGTTGCTTAAATTCTTTACGAAACAATGTTGAAGTAAGACAATGAATGTAAAAGTTCACCTAAAAATATAATGAGAAATACAAATCATTCAAAAGAGCAATGCTCACCGCCTAATTAAGACTTTGAAACCAACCTAATCCTGTCCAAACTGTGATAATTTCGAAAAGTGAGATTATTATTTGCGTGTCTCTTGGCGATGTTATTTTGTAAACTGATATCGGAAGTGTAGTAATCAGAAAAATACCAATACTTGTAAGTGTAAGAATGAACATTTGTAACTGAATATTTCTTTGTTGATTTGCTTTGTTGTTTTCACGCAGAGTTTGGGTTGGTTGAATTACAGTTCGTTTACGAATGCGAACACTAATGAAAATATCGACAAGAATCAATACCATTATAATCACTGGTATCACAGATATTATTAAGATCTAAAGTATAATTATCTTATAAAAATGATAGACCCATAAAAGTGTATTTCTGTTAGAAACGAAAACTATTTTACTAAAGTTTTAACGATTTCACGCTGAAAATTGATAATTTGATTGTCTCAAATGAAAATCTTTTTTTTTGAATGTCCGTTTATGTTAATTGTATGTTGTACTCACCTCAACTACAGTCCATTGAAGATAATAAAATAGTGTGTATGACACACTGGCAGAGGTCGGCCCGCATGCTAACCTTGCAAGGCCAGGTATGAACATTCCATACAATGGAGTTAAAATGTGAGAGTAGAGACCGATATCGATGATAAGTAATACACTCACAACTAATAAAGCTTTTCTTGGTGTACATAAAGAAGCCGATTTAAATGGAAATCGAGTGCGAATCCATCGATCAACAGATACAGTCACCAGGAGCCATGATGATAACACCTGAGATACAGATGATACAAATGAACGAAATCGGCAAAGGTCATCATATTGAACATGACGATAAAAAGGAATCTGTCATTAAAAAATAAATATCAAAAAATATATTTTTGATAAATAGTAGCAGCTGAAAAACAATACCTTTAAACCAAACTCAAGAAAATCAAAGATACATATGAGCAAGTAAAATGTATCTGAGATAGCTAAGAGAATAAACAAACATCCAGTCGATATCTTTCGTAATGTTGAGCGTGAAAAGGTTATTAAACTCAATACATTACCAAGAAAACCAAGTAAAAATGTGATGGAATAACCGATCCGGTAGAATAGAACAACACTAACGGGATTCACAAAAATGGAATAGAAATCGTCCAACGATGATGAGATTGTAGCATTTGTAATTGGTCTTACTGTAGTTGTATTATTCATGTTTGTGCCTATAGAGAAATAGTAGAAAGTATATATTTCTTCTTTCATACAACTTCGAATGGTAATTCTAAAAATAAAGATATACTCATACCTATAATTTAGAATAATCAGTAGTAATGCAGAAAACAGAGATCCACTCTCACATATAATTATAAGTAGATGGAAACAGTAGTAATTTACACGCACTATGACTTGAATCATCGATAAGGAAGTTGAGTTTATTGCTACCGGCGCCCTATCATTATTTCCGCATTATGCACTACTGTTTCGATAATAAATTTGTTTATCTTATATACATTTATATTTTGCTTCACTAATTCCAGATTTTACTGTAGTGATAAATAGTAGTAGAATCGATACTATCCATATGATCATGATCTTTATTATAACATGTTAGAATCAGAATTGAAAAAGTTTAACAAGATCAAAAAACCTAAAAGAAATATGTGTATGAAGCATGCAATTACTGATCATTCACTCGACTGCTCGTAGAGTTGTATGAAGTAAAATGCGTTTGTCTATTTGTTTATATTTGAAATCAATTTAGTTTTATGTTTCTTTTGTCCCTTTTATAGAGCGTTTCAGGCTCTTTATGAGTTAAATGAAAATTTTTATATGCTTAACTCTCTGATCTAAGAAAATATATGAGAAGAAATAGAAAATAGAAACTTCATACGTAACTTATGATCTAATGTTTCGTCAAAATAACACCCTTTACTTCTAGAAAATTCATCTATTTTTCAGGTACATATTTATAAAGTAAAGTTAAACTGTCTTTCTGGATAAAACATGTAAAGTTTTTTAGATCGTATGTTTCCTATTAATAAGTTATTTACATGTCACAGTAATGCATTGAAATTAGTGCAGCCATCGTATCTGAATAAAACATTATCTTTTCATGTTGAGTTTCACTTGTTCTCTTATACATGCCAATATACAATATTTTTCGTATGTTACTTGTCAATCATTTCTAACCTATTGTTTTATTTTTCTTCTCTACAATGTTTCCTATTTCTAAAATATATAAAAGAAATAATTAATACCATAGTTTGATCATAATTATTCATCATGATGAACAATTTCAAAGGATAATAAAATTGTGACTTTAGTTGCTTTTGTTGAATGTGTATGTGAGATTATTTTGTACAATTCTAATTCTTTTGTTTATGTATTCGTTTCTCATAGATTTGACGTGTTTCGATGATATTCATATAGTAGAATATTCTTTGACGAGAGTGTGTGTATGGTGGAAGGTTATTCTCACCTACGTACGCACACTCACATCCTCAATATTTCCGTCTAACATGGTCATTAAGCAGATGATGTATTGTGTATATATACGTTCATGTTTCCGCCCTCATACTCCAATGTATTCATACCTGTTATTCGATGATTGTGACACTGATCGAAAACATCAATCAAATGTATTAGTACTTATATTCTTTTACAACTCATTTACATTATCTATTTAGACTATTCAAGATTTCATATTTCTTCATTTACCATCTTTGTGAATAAATGAAGAAGTTCTAGCAAATTAGTTGAGAAATAGCGTTAATGACGTCATAAATCATTAGATATCGATAAAATAAAATAAAGGAAGATATTGATCTGCGATTGTATAAAGAATGGACATTTATTCTCATACGTTTATATAACGATAATATTATTAGTAGAGGAAGATTTTCCTAAAAAAGTTGACATTAAATTATTGATATAGATATATTAAGGCAAGAAGAATCATATTTTGTAATGGAAGATCTTTTATGCTTCAACATACGTCTTAAAAACTAATGTACTTCCAATAGACGATCGATTTTTCTTGAAGGATATATCAATATAAATTGAGTTAATCTTACCTTTTCGCATATAAGACCTTTAAGTAACATTAATTACTTTTCAAAAGTACATTTATCTACACAATATATATATCAAAGAATAGAACTTTGTATAATATTTGCCTTGACTTATTTGTAAGAAATTAGATTGTTTATGACACGACTTCAAAACAAGGTACTAATTACATTTCAAGAATTTCCTAATAAATAAGTAAATTTTACTTATTAGATGTTAAATTCACTAATAGCAAGAATTAATCATCAATATCATAAACAATGATACGTATTATAATCTCTTATTTCTATACAATGTGCATAATCGATCATTATACATGTAAAATATTGAAAATAATACACATACTGAATGGAATCTTGAAAAATCAAACGAATAAATGGTTTCGTTTCTGATAATACTATTGAAAAAAATGGACATATGGATTTCAAATCTTTTATATCTATGAAAAGAAAAACATCATTTTGTTGATAAATATTCAAACCATCTTGGGGGTGTGGGTGTGGATACGATGAATGTTAGTAATAACTACACCCATACCCACACTCTCAAAAATTTATGAGCATCTCAGCACCTATCGCAGTTTTTCTATGCGTGGCGCCAACACTTATGCCCTTGGTTGTCAACATATTTCTATCTACTATAGAAATACTCAATTTTCCTTCACAAAAGGAAAGACTACAATCGTGACGGATAAGATTGTTGCTTTATGAATAAGAATTTGAGATTTATGTTACCACTTTATTTTCTGTGCTCAATAATGATCGTATCAATTTCTTCATAAAAACTGCATTAGTATTTATAGTTTCAAACTTGTCATTATCCAAGTAATTTGATTATACTGACCTGAATTAATTGCGTTTCGTGACTATTCGAGTCACGTATTCATTGATATCTTCAGTCAAATTTTTGTTCACAATTTTTTTTGAATAAAATGCATTGAAAAAAGGCGTTTCATTCTATTTTCTATTGTAGACAGTGACAAAATACTAAGGATTTTTATTAGAAAAAAAGGGAATACTCTAACGAACAATAGGAAACTAAAACATCGATACATTTGTGATTACATCTATGAGTTCTGTTATATTATTACGCATCAGTGAAGTGTAAACAACAACAACCATAATCCACCCTAGAGGTCTGCTAAAGGATATGGATTTTTCATCAAATTGGCGTCAGCAACAACGAATTGACTGGTATATTTATAAAGAGTTCCCGAAATGCAAGCTTGATGTAATTGAAGGATATCAAAATTAACATGTCCAAATAATTGTTTGTAAATTTTTCTCAACTTCTGTCTTGATTTATTGTCCCTGCATAAATAGAATCCATAGTCAACACCGATGCACCGCTGTAAAGGCACATCCTCTCCAAGTACGTATTGCTTCAGGTGATAAACACTTATATTAGGATATCCAAAAACCACACCTTGTGCTTTAAGTGCGTCAATACCATCGATATTTTTCAATCGAAGAAGAGCTTCTAAAGTTTGTGATTCAGAATTTGTGTAGAATTCGTATAATGTACATTGATCAATAAGAGTACGGTAGATACGACCTAAGTCAGATTCTATTCTTTGAGATTTGCATGTACAGAATCCGAAATGAAACCATATGTCATACTCAATACGTGGAATATTGCCCATGAGTAATACTATGTATAACCAGACTGATAGACGCTTTTCCTGCGGTTCGAGTTGATCCATATCCTTGTCTTTATCTTCCGCAGAAAGATATTTTCGAACAAGCTGAGAAACATCTGCTTTTGGTGTTCGAGAGTCAACTAAGTGTTGATTTTTCAGAAACCAATTATAATAGCCACTACTCGCTCCAGCGTCCTCATATGTTTTTCGAATGTGTAGAGCGAGCTCGTTAGCCTGTTGCCATTCGTGCAAGTCCTTACTGCTCACTCCAAGTATCTTGATAAGTCCGGCATATACACTCATAAGATATGTTCTCTGCTCTTGCAGATGGCAATTGGAGAGGCCGAAATCGGCAAGAGTATCCAGATCTTCTGGAAACAAGTCGTCCATGACTGCTTTTACCAGAAAATCAGCTGTATTATTCTGGCGAGTTGGAGTACAAATGATTTTATGTTTGCCCCAATCTTTCTTTTGGCATTTTACACTACAGTAATTCGTAGTGTGGCATTTTGCGCACCTTGAAGTAGCTGGTTTTCCACAAGTCCAACACTTTTGTTGTTCGATCGTTGATGTTACTAAATGATCTGAAATCATATAATAATGAAAAATAAGCTTCTATTAGGATATAATAAAGAGTCTATGCACTTCCGACAAAATGCAGTTTACCAGCCTACAGAATATCTGTGATTCAGTGTGTCCATCGAATATCTCAGAAACGAAATGAAACCGTGAGACCTTCTTAGATTTCCGAAAAAAGAAATGACTTGCATTGTTGAAATTTCTGTAACGTTGAAATACTCACTCCTGGGACAAAGTGCATATGAACTGTATTAGACTATCAGCTTCGGTGTAGCTGCAACTCCATTTTTATTCGAAAACATTAAAAAAACAGACTCCATTCGACAATGCGTAATCTGAGATACAAAAAACTAGCCGACTCATGATATCTTAAAATGGATTATTATTCTGTAATATTAATATTTGACTAGAAATATCTCATTACTTATTCCTTCGTTGATAGTTAATGTTTATATGTTTAGTCTAACTAATGGCCTTTTACCGTGGAGAAAAAGTCCAAAGTCTGTTATTCATTATGGTTCATATGAAAAATGTAAATTATTTGTACAAATGAAATTATTAATGAGTTCACCTATTGCTTGTTGTTCATCCTGTTCGCTCCAAGTAGTAGTAGTAGTAATAGTAGCAGTAGAGTGATCTTTCACATAAATAAGACGATTCCAGAAGATTTGATCACTCTGCTCTATGTGCAGTTCAACCGACGGTGATTCAGACAATTGTTTTAAATCTTGTTTAAATATATGCACCAGTTCTTTGAGTTGTGTCAGTTCATCTTCGACAAAATCTTCTGTTTCTTTTAGATGATTGAGCTTGCTTGAGAACTCTCTGAATCTCCTTTCGATTTCCTCCCGATCAGAACTAAGTAATTTCTTCACTTGTTGACGGGCTTGGTCAGCTGTTTGTATCACTTTCTCAAGTGTAGCTCGTTGCCATTCATCGATTTGTAACAACATGGTAGTTCGAGAATCTGTTTTGTTAAGTTGGTCTTGGAGATCATTTCGTGCTTCTACATATCCATCCAATTCATTGAGCAGCATTGAGTGATGATCATTAAAGTGCTTTCTGCAAAAGTACGCTTTGCATCCCGTACAAATACACGTTCCTGGTCCTTTATTGCACTTCGAACATTGATTAGATGTGGCCATTGCTAAAGAAACAATAAAGTAAACTGTTGTTCATTAAGTATAGTTTCCAGCACAGCATCAACATACTTTATTAAATTCTAAAATGATAATGATGTGACTAATATTGTTATCTAAAAAGCAAATAAAAATTAAAATGCATGAGATAGAGATGGAAAATCGAAAAATAAAAATACATCTTATTTTTAATCTCTGTTAACAGCAATGAATCAGTTTTATTAGAATTCCATTCCAATCTCGTTTACGTTCTTAAATTTCGATTACTCAGGTAAAGGTATATGGATCGTCCATAACGATAGAAGTCGATCGGCTCAGCTGCCGTCGCCGCCGGGAGAGAAAAAAATTTCAGAAGTTTCAAGCCACTGCGATCGACCTCTAAACAGTATCAAAACTAGAAGTGTGAGCTGATTGGTTCAGTCGTCGCCAGAACAGCAAAACGTTCTAATGTCTTGAACAGCCACCCCTTGCCGATCAACTCATCAGCGTATACCTCTAGTCGTCTCTGATCATTTTCCGACCGAAATCGTTGACTTTGACAGTTGTATAGAATAGCTGAGAAGGCTCTATTGATTATATAGTTGAAACTTAATAGTAGAAAAAAGTCACAATACCTTGTGCATCTTATATATACTTTATACCTATTCAACACTTAGTTTTATTCATTCATCAAAATACATCTTTTTTTGTCTCTTCTCGTCACTTACTTGAGATAGAAATGAACGATGGAGTTAATATCTATGCATTATTTTTGTTGAATGCAAGAGGGAAAAAACCAGGAGCAATACTTTTATATTATTTCACAGTAAACAAGTTAACGTAAACATGTGTTTGTTGCATATAAGAATAGAATGCAAAATGTTTTGATTGGTATTATGAAAGTGCACGCGTTTTTTTTGATAAAAAATAAGAACAGACGGTTATTGCAAAACACTGCACAGAGCACTGTAGTCATTCGTTATCGTTGCTTTTATTAGACCAAAATATATTTGAATGTAAGAGAAAAATGGTTAGGTTGTCGTTCTTTTCTTTTTCTGGTTCAATACGATGAACGTCTTACACACACACAAAGTCCATATCATATGAGCAAAAGTATTGTGCGTTGCTCTTTAAATTTTCAACGTAAATTAGAGAAAATTTATAAAAATCCAAAGAAAAACGCATAATGTTCTAACAAGTATTTTTCAACATATCGATTTCTTCTAAAATATGTATTTTACGAGGTATATATTTACAATTCCGAAAATGTAGACAACCTTGATTATATAATAGTATATTTTCATTTTGTTTTTATCAAGAGATTAGTAGAAATTATAAGTGAAATCAATTGTTTATTGCTTATCTTAAAATATCCGATAAAGTTAATGATGTTATATCGGTAATATTGTTCTACATTTTTCGTTTGTCCAGATTCTTACTGACATCTGCTATGATCATTTATCATGCTAAATAACCAATGAAAACAATAGTCTTGATTCAATATCATCGTCATCATATAATACTTTTATCAATTTCGTATATATCAGTTAAAATAAACAAAAATACTGTAGGTGAAAATCAAATTAATAGAATAATCTTTTTCCTTTTTTTAATCATATAGTCAGAACTCAATAATTCACATTAACCTAAAACTCGATCTCATCTTTACTGTTTTTCATTTTTGATCTCTGACATGTGTCATTTTTTGTGCTATGAATGTGCAAGATATTTTCATATACGTTTACTTATTATCTAAACTAGTATCGTTTAAAGTCTTCCCATAAGCATACATGTACACTATACAATGCATAAAATACATAGAAAGTATGAGATAACACCAATCTTTTTCATATTGAAAATGATCCGAAATAAACTGAATTAAAAAAAAATTCTATTATTCATTTAGAGAATATCTATGGTAATTGATTTAAAACGATTATTACATATATATAATGATATTCAATAATCATAATAATGTCAACGGACTAACAATAATAAAAGAAAACAATAGCTTTCAACAACAAATAAATCAGCAATCATTAACACAAGATCTTGAACAAAGTCGAGAATGTAAGTTGAATTTCATAATTCTTTCTTCATTATTTTCTTAATTATATAGCACTCAAAAGAAAATTACAAATACGTCGATCTTTTCAACAACTTGTTGATGTTGGTATTATACCATTATCATTTTATGAACAACAAAAACAAGTACAAATGCAAAAAGTATTTTTTTTCCTGTCCTTTTTTTCATTTCAAATAATTTCTTTTTAAAGACACAAGATATATTGAAAAATAAAATTCTTTCTCGTCCTGATCGTCAATTATTAATTGAACATAATATATTATCCGATACAATAGCTGCACCAGCTATACAAAATACACAACGTCAATTAAAACGTGCTCGTCTAGTTGATAATCTTAATGATAAATTATCCGTACGTCCAGGCATATTAGAATTAGTAGCAAATAATATACTTGAAATAGATTCTAATCTTCAACAAGCTATACAAGATGGTCATATTCAATATCCAAGTGTATCACGACCATTACATAAAAAAACATCATCATTTTCATCCTCAACAACAATCAAACGTCCATTAAATTCAATATCAAAATCAAAATCTTGTTTAACATTTCATGAATATAAAGGACCATCACAAAAAGCTGAAGTAACAAAAGTTCCATTACAATTCGAATATAGTCATTATGATGTTCAATTAAGGCAACAACAATTATTTCTCGAACTTATTCATACTAATAAAACTCATACAATAGAAAATCTTTTTCAACAATCATTTGAAACAATGAAATTAGCAGATTTAAAAAATGTATGTAGAAAATTAAATATCAGTTCAACTGGAACAAAAATAAAATTAATTGAAAAATTAAAAAATGCTCAATTAAAAATGTCAGGTAAATATCATCAAGAATAAAAAATGAATAAATTTACTTTTTTCAAATGTTCTTCGTCTTCTAGATACAACAAATGGTCTATCTCAATTATCAAATACATCATTACCAACTATTAAACTTTTATGTAAGAAGTAAAAACTACAAAGTTAAGAATAGTAGATTAATCATACAAACTTCTAATTTATTTCTTGAGGTTATGTGTAAAAATAGCTCTCCTAATTTGTAGATTCTGAAAGTTTTAATACTTTTCATCTGCATGTAACAGATAAGATCTATTTTTGAGAAATATCTTTTCTCACCTCATTGTATATTTTAATTGTGTCTGTTATGTAAACTTACATTCTGGAACGAATTTTTTATATTTCTACTACTGATTTAGATGGTTTAATCAAGATACGAAGCTAGCTGAATATTCAGAAAAAAAAGTTATTTATAACAAATAACTATCATAAAAAAGTTACTGTAATAAATAACAATAGCAAAAAAATAGTTATTGTTATTCATAACAAATAACAAAAATTATTATTGTTATTGTTATTTATAAGAACGAGATAACAATAAATTCTCACCCCTAGTCTATTTTGAAATTATGATGAATGGTACTAGACATGACCCAAACCGTTTGGATCTTTTTTTAATTGCCATAAATGTATCCAAAATAGTTTCTGCTACAGATTAAAAAAACGCCTACTCAAACTCAAATAGTTTGGGTTAGGGTCATGCCTAAATTTTGCACTATTGCTATTGTTTACCATTGTTAGGAATACATAAAATGTACTAATGAAATTTGAAAACCCGTTCTTAGAACTACATTGAACAATCAATATTTGTAAACTAAAAGTAAATTATTCTAGTATCAACATCATCATTAAATGATCGGCCACAACAACTGAACTCATTTGAATTAGAAAATCAATTTTCTTTACTTGCTCAATCGAATAATAATTCTACAACTGTAATACAAAAATAAATAATCTAAAATAGTTATATATTCTTATTTTATATTCATAGACTCAAAAAAAATGTAATTCTGTTCAAAAACGTAAGGACTAATTTTTTATAAATCACCATCAAGGGGGAAACAGCGAACTTCAAGAGACTTCAACAAGCGAGACTTCATTTTTTCGAAAGACTTCAAAAAATTTCATAGGACTCCATGAGACTTCAGGCATGAAGTCTCTGTTGTTTACCCCTTGATCAGTATCATTAATATTTCGATTTTTATAGAAATACTTATACAACAACATCCAAATGTATCTTTAACACCTGAATCTGTCGCACAATTTCTTGTTCAATCACAAACATCATGCGAATCAGTATGCTATTTATTCAGTTATCAATAAATATAAAATCAATGTTTTTTTTATAGATAAATAATAATATTATTCTAAATCAATTGGATGAATATTTCGGTAACACAAAAACAAATTATTAGAAAAAAATTTTCTTCTTAATTTTTAATTAGATTCTACATCTTCATTGCCTATAGATTATATGGAAATATCAAATATAGTTGATAATAATACAGATTTCACACAATTTCTTAATGATCAACATCATATGTTTTTCGATTCATTTGATCTTTTTTCTCCATCAAATTCAATGATTTAATCTCAAAGTCTTTTTTTTGTGTTTCTATGCATTTAAACATGTGATAATTCGATTTTACTTTCTTTTATATTAACTCGTGTGATAGAAGAAAAAAAAAGTTAAACTTTAACAATTAACTGTCCGTATAATTTATAT